TATGGTGGGGACTCCCTACTGGATGGCTCCGGAGGTTGTGACACGAAGGAGTATGGCCCCTAAAGTCGATATCTGGTCTCTTGGCATCATGGCGATCGGTGCGTCCTGAAGCTTGACTGAGGGTGTTCTCATCACGACTGTTTCTGCTTGGCAGAAATGATTGAGGGCGAACCACCGTACTTGAACCAAAACCCGCTCAAGGCTCTCTATCTGATTGCGACGAACGGAACGCCGACCTCGCCAACCCCGAGCTCAGCTCCATCTTCAGCGATTACCTTGCCAAGACACTCGAGGTTGCGCTGAAAAGCGTCCGAATGCGACCCAATTGCTTGCGCACCCCTTCTTCACCCCTTCTTCAGCTCAGCCCTCTGAGAACTCTGGCTCCCCTTATCAAAGCGGCACGTGAAATCGCCAAGGCACCCAAGTGAATACTAGGCTGCAGGAGACAGAAACGTTGTCAGCGAAGTCCACTCTTTACTTATCTCTTTCTTCCCTTCCTCTTTTTATTGTAATGGCTGTTGTTCCAAGCCTATCTGAACCTTCCATCTTCTCCAAGACGTACCATATCCCACTATCTGTGTTTGTACTCTCCCGAACTGGCCGCTGCCGTCCTGTACGACGCATCGCTCCCAGAGAGCCCTCGCACACCTAGTTCATGTGTTTCTGTATCACCATCCCCGGTCCTATACTCACTGAGCGCGCATATATACCAGAAGAAGAAGCGAAGAATTCGTAACACAATAAAAAGACTGCTGTAAAATCATATTTATGACGTTGTAGAGCGTGTCTGCAAGGATCATTCATTCAAATATTCCGATACAACTTGTACAACTTTAATTCTTGAGATGGATCTCGCCGATGACCGAGTGCACCAGTTGGTGTTTGTCAACCTCAACACCGTCCGCCCACTTGATATCGATCTGAGGACCGAAGATGAGTGCGTGGGACGAGCCGCCGAAACGGAAACTGGTCGGAGGTTAGCAAAAAGATGTGGTATCTGAAACGGAAGCAAAACATACCAGCCCAGCTCGTCTCCTGCCTGGACACGATCGCCCGTGTTGACAGAGATACTGGTGGTGGAGACCTCCGCCATGCCAACACCAATGAACACCATAAGTCCGATGTCTGGGTTGTCGGACTGGATGTAGATGATCGCGCGAGAAGAGGTGGTGGTCAACCAGCCTTGCGACCGGATCATCGCGCCGTGGGGCTGCCCAGGCTTCAAGTCGGGATCGTCCTCGGGTGCTCCTTCGTCGGGAAGGACAGCGTAGTACGTGCCCGGAATGACATCGGCACGAACGATCGTGCGGAGATGGGCGCGTGCCATCTGTGGTAGTCCTGGGGCTGAGGAACGCCTGGTACACAGTCCCTCCGTTCAACATCTCTGCTACCTCCGGATCTCTGATCATGTTTTGGATGGAGTAGGTCTGCGCCTTAAGCCAGAAGCGGTCGTGGCGCTTGACGTTGTCGGTGATGTGGTACACCGTGGACTCGCACGCGCTGTACAGAATGAAGTCCTGGCGAGCGGGGTCGCTGGCTGGGATCAGAGGGCGCGTGCCGGGAATGTATTTGCGAATGAAGAACTCATCCCACGACTTGTAGCCCTTGCTCGGAAGACTGGGGTCAGGGCACACCCAAGTGTCCTCGAAGCGTCCGCGACCTCCGGCTTCCATGCTGGAAATGGCCGCCGAGCTGAACCAGCCCTCCGGTCCGTCGTGCAGGCACTTGGCAGAGGCCGGCGTCGTGAGGAACTCGCCCCAGGAATCCAAAAGCTTCTTCAGCTCGACATTGAACGCAGGTTTGCGGAACAAGTCGTATGCGGCGGTTGTGTTGCCCAGTAGGTCGAAGAGGACGTAAAGAGGAACCCCGACGGGCTCTCCGATCACATTGCCGTCGTCATCCTCTGCGATGTGGAACGCCGGGGGCTTCTCGACGACATTGTCGAATGCATGCAGGAGCATGTCCAAGCTCGTGATCTGCGGTGCGTCAACATGCGGAGCAGTTCCCGTAGCTGCACAACTTGGACCTTGTTCTCTCCGCTGGCCTGGTCGAAGATGTCTTCGAACAGAGCGACCATCTCGGGATCAGCCTTGATCGCAGCGCCGAAAGCTTGAACAGCCGCAGTAGAGTGGTCGGCATCTTGTGCTACTTTGCGACGAGCGTGACCGACGTGGTGGTCCAAGAAGCTCTCGTGGATGGCTGGGTGAGACGGCAGCCACCCCCCGTAGCGAGAGAGTATGGTTTTGGGACGCTGGATGTGGGACATCGTTATCTGACTGCCGCTCCCTGAGTGTGCCGTCGTCTTTTATAGCGCAACCAGAGCTTCCATCTGAGCTGCTGAGCGAGTGTAATCATGTTTCAGCCGCTCAAGCGCGAGACAAGGTCCCCGCCACTGACGTTGGCTACTGCAGGTGATTCCAGGCCTGGGCTAACGGCTCTCTAGCACCCTGTGAAACTGATCAGCAGACTGCATTCATGTCCGACTTGGGGGCGAGGAAGCGCGAGTAACGAGAAAAGCAGGCGTGTGCACTCCCGTTCCTTGCGGCTTGTTCAACGGGTGAGACTCGAGAAGGCTCCAATATCACAGCATGGGCGAGGAGCCGAGCCGGGACTACGGCGGTGGTGTACGCGAATGACGATACGAGAAGTGGAATGGTTTCATTGATGTGGCTAGCCAACTGTACAAGATATGGAAGAGGGATATAGGACGCTACAAAAACCATGAAAGCCCCACCAGACAGACTCCCATTTCTCAAGGGTCCTTCGGAGCGTTGATTAGACGCCCCGAATACATCGATTTGGGCCATCACCAGAACCAATACAGGGTGGAGTATACCCACTGCTTGGGCAGAAATAGGCCAGGAAGACGTAAGAGAACAGGAACAAAAGAAGAAGGCGACAAGTGTAACATTGAGGTAGTGAAAGACGAACAAAGGATGAGTGATGCGAAATTTTCAGCTTTATAGTCAACGTCTAGACGTTTGATCGGTGATTGCCGGTAATCTCCCCATGCGACAGGGCTCACCACCAAGCCAAGATTCCCATTACAAAGTTCGGCGACGCTCTAAGTTACATGTTTGCAGTGGTTCATTTTGTTACAAAGATTTCGGGATACATGACTAGGTTTGTACAATGCATAACGCAGATCTGCCTTTTACCCTCCGATCTCTTTCTACCGAGATCAGAATGTTCCAACTCTAGTATAGATGCTCCGGTTAGAATAGTTATACATAGCAGCGGTCTTGAGCTTAAGATCGTATTCCCCGTGGAAATCCACATCTAGCTGCTGCTGCAGGGGCACGAAAGACCGCGCTTCAGCTCGCAGCTTGAATGAAAGGGCTTTGGCAAGGGATTTGTCTGCATCACAAACTTCCGCATCATAACTGTCTTCTTCTACTAGCGTGAGATCCTCGCTCGAGTTGGTTGTCGACGAGAGTTGGGTGGAGCGGGACGAGCGTGCGAACCAGATATTTCTCGGAGTGTGGAACGAGGCGAGGGACGACCAGCGATAAGAGACCAACAGAATCACAGCCGAGGAGATGGTGCCTTCAACAACGTAGAGCGCGGCCAAGACAAAGCAGAACGTGAGGAGCACGGCGAGTCTGGACAGCCCCCATGCACCGAGTGTGTCACATTCCGTCGCGTATGATCCAGGCAGTAGAGACTCGGCGCTCCGTTGTGCAGAGTGCGGCTTTCCCCTACTTTCTTCTTGAGGCAGGTCGTGGGTCGCAGTGCCTTGGAGCGGGGAGAATACAATCATCGCACTGCGGTTATCGATTTGTTGTTGCCACGCGAGGAGAAGAAAGACCAGCATAGACAGAAGAGATGCAGTTCCCTCTGAGCTCGATATATCTACCTCGACACGTGCGTCTTGTCGGACGCGCGTGCCGGTCGGTGTTGGCTTTGAATCTCGCCAGCGTACAACTTGTAGAACCGGTTGGTCCTCAGCGTCTTTCGTCGGCGCAGTGAGATGATGCAGGTCAAGAAGCATTTCGGCCAGACTGATGTTTGTATAGAGCGAGATGAGGAATGCGCCGGAGATTGACAGGCTGATGAGCGCGTGGGCGTGGGTCAGCGTGTCTCCAATGCATCCCCGCATGATGGACCAAGACAGATTCCACAACAGCGTTGGAGCAACAAGAGATCCGAGAATGATGTACTTCATCTCTTGAGCAAAAGACGCGTAGAAAGTAGAAGGCGTAGTGTGTGGCTGAGGAGACGGTGGAGGAGAGAGGCGGTTGGACACCAAGTTTGACGCGTCCGTAGATGGTTGTCATGTGATAGATCGCTGACAGTCGCTGACCGGATGCTCGCTCCGGTGCTCCGAGCATCGAGTCTCGACTCTCTAGTACCCTCTAGGCTACCACTTGCAGTCCAATTCCAGGCTTGACTTATGCCTTAGAATCCCTAGCTCTCTCTCTCTCCATACCGAAGTGAATGTTCTCTCGAGTCTAAGAAGCCAACGATCAAATCGAATGCGCTGTCCTTGACTTGCACCCCGGTCTTCTCGATTATCCTTTGTCTGATACATAGGCCTTGGTCGCTTCCAGACAGCTGAAGCCTATCCCTCTTTGGACTTACAATGCAAGCAAGTACAATAAACAGGAGCTCCGCTGGGCACCGCCATCAGGACAAATTCGAGTCAAGTGACTGACCGTTGACGTCGGTCTGTATAAAGGTGCGAGAAATGGAGAAAATCGCCCGCAACCCCTCCATCCTCCGGACGTCCCTCACGACATAACGCACCACCCAATCATGACGACGCGCACGATATCCTCTCCCGCGATCTCGCCGAGCACTTCAATCAGCTCTGATGTGCAAAATCAGCCGTCTGTAGCCACTCCTTCCACTCCGCCGCTACAGAAGACACTTCACAAGAAGAAGTCCTCGGTAGATCTGCGGGCTGACTTCGAGAAGCTTGCGGCTGTCGTAGCTGTGGAATGAGCTCAATCATTTATGCCGTTCGTCGTCATTCTTTCCTCAGTTGTTTGCACGACACCTACATTTGAGCAGACGGCCCGCTTTCTCATTAACGTTTAACTTCGGACCCAAGATGCCTGTAACATAAATTTGCTGTACAAAGCATAGTGGTAGTCATACCACATGTACTCAATTCAAACCGCATTCAGAGGAGGCAGCACTTGCTGTTTCCCCTTCACTGGCCAAATCTCTGTCATCGTCGAGGCGTCCCAGAACCGTCCACCGCGCGCGACCATCGAGAGATTGACAGATTGGGAGATGTCGCCGTGGAGCAAGTCAACGCCTGGAGGATACACTACCAGATCAGCTAGTTTCCCGACCGAGACCGAGCCGAGCGAGTCGAACAAGCCCAGAGTGACTGCGGCCAACGATGTCGCCGACTGGAGCGTCTGCGAGTAACGGGGCGTCAGGGCATCTCAGTGCGTCAAATGGGCAGTCAAACCTCGTAGTTGCTCAGTCCTCCTGCCTGCGCGAAGGCGAGCTCCGCATGATAGTTTACTCCGTACGGCGGTTCGCCGTGCGCGCCAATGTGCGATCGCAGACCCATGTGCACCATCTTTGCAGACGACGCTGACGTGTTGAAGAACTGATAAGCTGGGAGAAACATGAGACAGAACTAGTCGATGAATGGGGAAATCGTCCGCACAGTTCATGGGTCGTGAGGTCGATTCCGAGAGAACATCGAGTTTCGCATGCGGTACAAACGCCCGCAGTCTGCAGATGGATCAGCAGGTTTCAGGGATGAATCAGCGACAACAGCAGACTTGTGATCATTGGGCACATCTTGTGTTGCCCAGACTAGCTGTTCGCCCCAGGCTCCGCCGTAGTTGACAATATGCGTGGGTGTGTATGCAGTTCCGCTCAGAGCAAAAAGAGTAAGCACATCATCGAACAGCTGAGGAACTGGCAGCGCATGTTCCACAGTGGTCATTCCTGGGAGGATGATTGAGCCGAAATGCAGATAATGAAGCGAAGCACGCACCGTCGACGATGTAGGTGAGATCCCAGTCAAAGTTCATCCCACCCTCGGGAACACACAGCATGTTAATCTTCCGCCCCGCATTCAGCAGTCGCTGGCGAGAGGCACTGGAGCCATTCAGTACTGACTCAACATGTAATGATGCATCCCCTTACCGGATGGGCAGATTGTAGTTCTTGTAAGAAATGCTGCCAATTCCACCGGCAGCTCTCAAGCGGACCAAGGCGGAATACGCCTCAGCCTCGTCAGCAATGCTCTGATGCAGGCTCGGAGCAGCAGCACCATAGATAACAGCCCCGGTCGAGAAGATGCGGGATCCAACAGTCAGACCACTCTCCACACGCGATCGCTCCGCGAACGAATCGTCAGAAGCGCTTGGACTGGAGCGACGTCAGCCGTCGCCTAAATTTGTTACGAATCGGCACTCACTTGTGCAAGGTCGTCACACCATAGGCCAGGAAGGCTTGCAACTCCCATGAGGTAGCCGGGAAAATGGAATCAAAGTTGTTCCAATGGGCGTGCACATCAATGAATCCGGGGATGACGTAGCCTAGAGACGATTGAGACTCGCCGGATCGACGAACGTAAATGCTCACCTCCATGGGCATCAATGGCAGTCGCACCGGATGCCACGAAGCTGCCCGCTGGACCGACGCTCTCGATAACACCACCGCGGATGGTAACAACCCCGTCTCGGATCAGGTCCTTTGACAAATCGCCGGTTTCCATCGTCAGGATAGTCGCATTGAAGATGACGAAAACGTCCGAGTTGATTCCCTGCGCGTCCGATTGGGCGGCTTCTTTCTTCAGACGTGCGATGTCGGTGGAATGCTCGATCACAACCTCTTGGTATTCAAGCAAACCCTTCACACAAGAGATTCCGAAAGTGAGCGGGTCGGATTCAATCGCAGACGAGCACTTGTCCAGTTTGGAGACTTCGAGAGAGTGGAGATGTGGACCTAGGCAGCATGAGCATGAATCCAATGCAATAGCGACAACAAAACGCACCCAAGAACCACAACAGTTTCTTGCCGTCATCAGACCAGGTGACACCCGCACCCCCATCCAGGCTCACGCGGACGAGATTCTTCGTTGCGTTGCCTGGCTTAGACCACACAGCTTCATCCTCTTTGAGCCCATCTCCAGGAACGTAGTAAACGTTGAACGATTCGATGAAGGCCACTCCTCGCGGAGCATACCCCTTCTTGGTTTTCTTGGGCAGACTGGTTGCGATCTCTGAAGACATTCTACCAGTTGCCACTGTGTGATGAGGATATTTCCCTTCTATGCCAGAGGGTCCAGCAGCCAGATCAATAACAAACGAGCGGTCAGATTGTTGAACGAGGAGTGTCCCATTGTTATCTAGGAAGCGCATGTTGACCATGTCGTTGACGGAGATCTCCGAAGAGACGAAATGGACGTTTTTGAGCTCTGGGTTCTCACCCAGAGTCAGGTCAGCGAGATACAGGCCGGGCTTTGCAGTCGCGAGAATGTGCCCAGTTTGGTCATCGCCAGCGGACTTCAAAAATGCGATCGTGTTTCGTCCTTCAGAGACGGCGGGCGAGAAGTACCGCCCAAATGGCAGACCGGACAGCTCGTATGCTTTTCCCGATGTCAGGTCCGCGATCTCGAACGACGTGAAGTTCGTATTGGACCAGCGAGCGTGGATGACTGCATCGGGCGAGCCTGGGACCCATGCCGGGGAGTAGTACGGAGCCCCGGGATGCAGAACCGGCACTGGTTTGGCGTGAGACTTCCCAACGCCTTGGACGTACGAAACAGCCCCCGCATCGAAGACGACGCGGCTCCCGGCAGCATCAGCCCGGACATTCCGGAACGAAGTCACCCGCTGGGTCGGCGCAGTCTCGACTCCAATGAGATCAAAGGATCCTGAGAGAGTATTCGCCAGTCGCTTCTCGATGTGAGCTCTGAAGGGGATCGGGGTCGGAGGGTGCGCTTTGTTAGCAACGCGCTCGCCCAAACTGTTCTTAGTGATTGGGACCGTGTAGATCTGCCCTCCAGCCCAGATGATGACGGCATCGTCGGAGGGCGTGAATGAGAAAGACGCGTATGTGCCCATCGGAGCAGAGATGACCCCCAGATCGTAGCTAAGACCATCCCAGATGTGATGTACAGATCCTGTCTCCAAATCCCTTGACGCGAATTAGCTGCTTGTCTGAAACACAAAATAAGCCCAAGAACATACTTGAAAACAAGCAACTCGTGGTCACGCTCTCTGCGCACAAATGCAAGCGTTCTCTGGTCACGTGAAAGTTGTGGCCGAGATGCACCACCTGGCGAAGAAGACACAAGAGTTTCCGTTTTTCCAGTTGTGATGTTATGGGAGAAAATAGAGTAGATGCCCTTGTGCACATCTGGAAGTTGTGAGACAATCCTTTCTCCAAAACAAGATGTACTGACCCTTGCTGTACGTGTACTGGTCCCCATCGATGCCGTTCTTGCTGAAGATGACACCATCTTCCCCGCGCCAAATGAACTGCTCCGGACCGACCTGCACTTCTCCATACATCTGCGGGCTCTCTCCGCGAGGAAGAGTCCGTCCTAGGACTCTCGCACCGCTGCCGACCTTGATTGTGCTGTTGTCCCCCGCTTCTGGGACAGGGAAGCGCCACCCTTCACCCGCTCCAAGCGAACGACTTGTCGTGTACCACTTGGTCGCAATGATTTCGGAACCGGACGGGTGGAAACGCGCGTCCGAAATCCAGCGATACGTCTCGTTCGTGACGCGTTGCGCATCAGAGCGCCCTTCACGAAGAAGACGATTCAGTCGACGCTGTTCCGTTTCCTTGACGCCTTGGGCGAGGAGCTCCTCGTCGCGGTTCTTGTCCTGAAGCGCACGCGTCAATGCGGGGTCGTTTCCGAACGCTCGGAGGTCCGCCGCCGCGCATCCAGCCCATGGCTTGACCCAGATGTTCTCAACACCGAGACCTGCGTCCGAGCGGAAGACAATGCGGTCGCCGGTGGGAGAGAAATGAGCGTCCGAGTCGTGGGGGACACCGAGGAGGATGGGGTGTGCCGTCACCGCGACACCACTTGCAGCACTGACTTCCGCGCGGGAGAGACAGTACAGATCACCCAGCATGTCAAACACGATGTCTCCCGACGTCGGATGAACATCCAAACGTAGCCAGGTCCCCTCTGTCACGTCGTATTCAAGCACACGCGGGTACTGGTAGTCGGTAGATATATCCCACGGAGTCTGCTCGCGTAGAGGAAACTCGTCGTCCTTCCATTCGATAGCCCCAGCCTGGGACAGAGAGACGGTTTTAAATGAGTGCATCCTGAGGGATGGAACTTGAAGGATTGTGGAAAGCACAGCGGCTGAGACGAGCAAAGCCAGGTATCTGAACGGCGACGACCTGGCCCTGACACCCGACTGAGGCTCATAGGGAGTCGGCAGGATCGAATTTCCCTTGGACTTTGCGTCCATGATGACAGAGCAAAGTCAAGGAGGATGGTTGGGAACCTACGCCTTATGCGCATCATCACGCCAGCGTCAGTTTGTGATGCGCGATAAGTCCACCCGCGGATCCGAGATGCCCGCGGCGGAGTCACGTGGACTGTCTTGCACGGTCAAAGCGCGTTCTTTGTTCGCCAGATACGATTCATGTTTTGACAGGAACTTATTCAGTCTGCCATTCGGAGCCTGTCGTCTTGCATATGCATATCGATGAATACCGTTTTCGTTCGTCCCACAGGCTTGACTCTGGATACCAAACAGTTGTTTTACATGTAGTCGAAGTCGGAGTCATAGTCATCATAGTAGTTGTCAAACATGTAATGGTGATAGTCACCATAATCGTAATCTGCGTTGTATTCTTCTTCTTCTTCTTCTTCAGAGTCGGTAAATCCAATTTCCAATCCATCCCACTCGACAGAAGAGACAATTTCCTTGAGGCCTCGCACATCCTCCTCGGTCAGGTGTTCGCATCTCTGCAACGTCAACGAGAACAACTCCTGGTTCCAGTGGCAACGCTCCATGATCGCTTCCCCGAACTGTTCGAGCGTCGCTTCCTCAAAGTTCATTCCGCACAAACACAGATGCCGGAGTGCAGGGAAGAACAGTCCGCCAGTGACAGCTGCAGCGCCGGCTTGATTGCGCCGACTCACGCGCCGTTCAACAGATTTGCGAACGACTGCTGCGATGGCCGGTGTCTGTTTGACACCCGAAACAACTACATCTTCTCCTAGACTCTTGAGAAATCCAACCGGACTCCCCACCACTTTGATGGCTCGTAGCTTGGGCAAATTAGGCACAGTGCTTGCAATCCAGGCCGCCGTGGAGATGCCGTGAGAGTCACTGAGAAAAGAGAGAGCGCGTAGATTGTTCAAAGGAAGTGTCTGGCAGATGAGTAGAAAAGTGCTCTCGTTTCCGTCAATCGATGGCAAGCGCCAGGACGCGGATATTTCCAGAGCCGAGTCTCGGAAGGCGGTGCCCTGGAAATCGACAGTGCGCATCCAAAGACGAACGATGACCCGGGAGTGCGTCATACCAATCTCAAGGGACCGTGGCGATCTCCCAGCGATATTGCAGGCAGAAAAAATAGGATGGCATGAGGAAGCCTTTTCTCCAAAGCATGCGACGTGCACTTTCGCTGACGACGGATATGTCATTTGACTGAGAATGCCGCAGCATTCCTCGACATTGTCCGCCAGCTCGAGACTTTCAAGATGGGCGAGTAAAACCCGAGGGCGAGCCTGCACAGCGATTGGCGGAAGTATATTCTTGAGTTCAAGTGACTCCAAAAGCGGCATGTGATCTAGCGCATCAAGCAACTCGTTCATCGTCATCGAGAGGGTAGACTCTTGTCTTGCGAAATGGACAACACGAAGACGCGTCAGATTTCGCAGCAAGGGCGAGTCCCATGCCATCGCGAAGCCCGTCAGATCCACTCGGCGCAATCGAGGCGTATCTCCACCAAGAAATGTGGCAGGTAGGCTTAGCTGTCGCTTCGAGCTTAGTTTCCTTGCTTGGTTTGAGTGGTGGCGCAGAACGCACCGGCCCGCCGTAATGCCCTGTTGCCTCGAGATGAAGCGTGTGCAAGAAAGGAGCTGGGTCTGTAACAGGTCAAGCGCAAGTTCGGATGAGAGGCACAACAGCTGACCAGTCATATTGACGAGCAGACCTAGTTGAGCCAGGCGATCTTTGACATCAAAATCAAGTTCTCCCAGTCGGGAAACTTGACTCAGGGCTCGGGTCAACAAGTCGATCATTCTTGGCGGAGTGTACACTTCGTGGAACTGAGGTAAAGATAAACAGCAAATAAGCAGCTAGTTCAATGGAAAGAACCTTGATAGTGAGTAGAGCCGATTTCGATCTCTCGAGCATCTCTTCAGCCCAGTCCAAGTGGCGGAAGGACGGATAGCTCCATACCCACGGAAACTCCAAGGCTACGGCGCGCCACTGCCGACATACGTGCGAGATCTCCCTGGTCCATCTCACGGAGTAAGAGTCCGAGAGTACTAGGCACAGAAATACACGAGACAAGACCTCGGGAGGCAATCTGCTGATGGGGGCCAGAGCATTGCGTCGGGTTTGCAAAGCGGATATTTGTGCGAAATGGTGGCGAATATGTTGGTCAAGCTCCTGTTGCGCCTTTTCGACAACGCCGGGTTCACTGAAAGCGGTCACTTGATCTGCGCAAAGTGTTCAGTAGAGATCCTTCTGGTCGGAGAAGGGCGGCAAGTCGGGCCCACAACTCCAGTCAAAAAAGTTCCGCGTACCAGCCATCGAATCTGGTAGAGATTTGGATCAGGATTGGGCGAAAAGTCGAAGACCTGGATCAATTTGCGCCGTGAAGTCTTTCACGAATAGAGTTGAACAATGGTTGGAATGAAACGATGGCTGTGGCTGGCGAGATCAAGGACTCATGGGAAGCATTATATCGACGTCACTACGTGGGGAAAACGCACGCGGGAGGCATCCTTTGTGCCATTTATCTTGAGACACTGCCTGTAAATTGGGTGGCGGCTTCTCATGGGTTTCTGTTGCTTCACCTTAGTGAATCATTTATCACTGCCAGTGGTCACTGGTCCTTGTCCAACTTAGAGACCTCAGACCATGCATTGAAGATCAAAACATCAATACTACTAAACTTGATCTAGACCACGTCGCGCCCGCCATTGCTCGCAAGTTGTAGTGATCCATGGATTCATCTGAGCTCTACCATGTCAAGCAGCAGTTCTTTTTAGGCGCCTACAAGTCCCTCATTGACCTCCCCCTTCCTGTTTCGTCTTCGTCTGACTACATACCCACGCTGGTGTACAAGGCCCGTTCTCACATCGCTCTCAACGACACCTCTGCAGTCGCTTCTATCGTGCCTGCGGGTTCGGAAAACGTCTCACTCAGGGCCGTTTCTGCCCTCGCCCGTTATGTATCTGGATCAGACGATGAGGCGGCACTAGAGGAGCTTCGCGACCTGGCTGTTGAGATTGAGGGTGACGATGTGGACGGGAGCGATAGGGATAAAAATTCGGTCCGTGTGATGGCTGGAACCGCATTTGCGCGTGCCGGAGAGATTGAGGAAGCTTTGGAGACGTTGGGCTCAGAAACTGAAGACTTGGAAGCGTAAGTTCCTTATGATGCGTCGCTGCTCCGTCTCATCTCCTGTTAGGGTGGCCGTCGTCGTACAAATCTACCTTTCTATCAACCGGCCTGATCGTGCGAAGAAGGAGTTTGAGCGAGCAAAACATTGGGCTGAAGATGATCTACTTCTTCAGCTCATAGAATCATCCATCGGTCTTGTAGCGGCCAAAGATGGATACTCCAACGCGAACTCGTTCTATACCGAACAACTTGGAAACCCCTCCTTATCTTCACCACACATTCTCACCGCACGCGGCGTTACACGTGTACTGCGGAACGAAGTAGCTGAAGCTAAATCGGACCTCGAGGAGTCGCTGGGACAGCAGAAGGATGACGCGGAGACTTTGGCTGCGTATGTCGTTGCTTCTGGCATTGACGGCAAGCGCGGTGAAAGTGATGAACTGTGGATGTGCGTGACTTGTGTCGTGGCTTCCATTCATCCCCTCATACTATTTTCCCAGGCGTTTGACAACTGAGCATCCCACCCACCCTCTGGTTGTTGATCTTGCGGAGAAATCGCAGCTATTCGATGTGGCTGCTGCGCAGTTTGTAGTACCTCCTGCTGCTGCTGTCTAGACCGCGCTCTGTTTGGGAAGCCACTCGCACTTTTGTTATCAATTTCATTGCATTTGTCACGGCCTTCAGCGCTTCAGCACCCGACTTTCCTCGAGTGATGTCCAGTACCTGCCTCGGCCTTGATTACTCCATCATCGCTTGCTGGTTCTGACATAGAAAATGCTAGCCTTCTTCAATGGTGGAATGCGGTCCATCACAATCTGCTCCAAATGCGGCAATAGTGATGCCGTAAACTTGACTGTTCGCGTCTTCGTTCGCTTCGTGCAGATGGGAAATGACACGAGCTCGACGGTTATAAGGTGGACGCTCTTCACTAGTCTCCTCTACCATCTCCCTGCCTACGTACTCGGCCATGAATCGTCGAACGTCGTTCTTCCGTCGCGCGCCCTCCACCACTTCATCGGGAGTAAGCCGCTGGCCTGTATTCCCTATGTGTATGGCCCGCTCACAGCTGTAGAAGGCTAAGGAGACAGCGTCCACCGCCAACAGTTCTTCGGAAGGCAAAGCCAAGGACTCTTCGGCACCCAGCCCACCATCAACGTCACCTGCTGCGACTGCAAATATCTTCAGCCTTCTCACTGATCAAGTCGGTACCTCTTTCGTCTCGGAACCGACTGCTGACGACTGCTAGGTCAAGAAAGGGATTCACGCGGTGGATACGTCTAGCTTTGTACGTCCATTCAATCGACGTTGATGCATACTTGAACATTCAACCTGTCAGGCTGCTGTCGTGGATGCCATCAGAAACACAGAGTCCATCGATGATAGAGCTCTCGCGGTGGGAAATGTCTCTCTTACCACGTCGATCCCCTCGCTGACACTTCGTGCTCGAAGCTTGAGCATGCGTTGACCTTCATCTCGCGACTGCCCGAGGGCAAGTTCGCCACCGGCCTTGATAACAAAGCCGTTCAACTTCGTTCGTCGCTCGTTAGGTATCTCTTGCACACCCACTCATTCTATGCGATTGCAGTGTACAACGACTTGTCGCACCCGAACTCCACCAGCGTCGGCGACAAGTATGCTTGGCGAACGGCTGATGGATCCCACAACAATGTCAATCTCCCGCAAATGGGCGCGGCGGGGACGCCGTACGCGAGGAGTGTTCAACAGAGCCATCCCCTCCCCAAGCACGCTCTTCCAGATCCTGGTCTGATCTTCGACACGTCAGTTGCGATTTGCTACTAATACTCACTGCTGACTTGTGTGCAGGCTCCTGAGGCGCGATGGTGTCAGTCTCGCATGAGGTTCAGTTATGCCGATTGAATTACTCACTGCACTTTCTAGTTCGTGGAGCACCCCGCTGGACTGTCTTCCCTTATGGTGGGTACCAAACATCTGTACTTCGAATGGACGATAGTGATGCGTTGTCTCAGTTCGGTTTCGCTGCTCTAGTCATCCATAGCGTATTCAGAACTTCGCACACGGACGTCAACATCAACGAGACCTCCTCGTACGTTGATTTGTCTCCGCTCTACGGGCACAACCAGGAGGCGCAAGACAAAGTGCGCAACAAAGATGGCCGAGGGATGTTATACCCCGATGTCTTCGCTGAGGACCGTCTGCTGCTTCTCCCCCCAGCGGTTTGCGCGATCTTGGTGTTGTTCAGTCGGAATCACAATGTGCGTGTCGGTGCTTCTATCACTGGCTGGTTATTGATTCCGTGACAGTATATCGTCGAACGCATCTACGAGATCAACGAACGTGGAACATATCAAGATCCCAGTACGCTCTCGGGTGACAAGCTCCTCGCACAGGACGAAGAGTTGTTCCAAACCGGACGCTTGGTTAATTGTGGATGGTTTGGGTCTGGCAAGTGGTCTCTCGATCTGCTTCTTCGCTTCTTACCCCATGACCAGTGGTGTTCTCGGACTACTTCTCCTCGATCTTGGGGTTGCTCCGAGACGGAAGCAGTTGGAGTCTGAACCCCTTTGGCGTGAGTAAATGTCTTGTGCACTGTTACGATGTTGATGACGCTCGTCCAAGGAAATGCGGTCCCCTGACCATTCCATCTTTGAACGTGGGCAGGGCAATGTTTGCAGTGTCGAGGTGAGCTTTCCTTTTGTGCGTCCTTACCAGGATCTGAATTCCTCTAGTTCAACTGGTCAGCATGGTTCATAGGCTATCTGAATGGGATTTAACCGGATCATGCAGCTTATACCGCTGGCATGCGACGACATCCAAAGCAGATGAGGAGTGGGTTGCGGAAGTGTTCAGGGAGGTTTTCGATGGAAAGGACCCTGAAAAGGTCACGCCTGCTGATTTCAAGGTCAGTAATCGCAGCTTACCTTGTGGTGTTTGATTGAATGGCGAGCATAGGCTGCGGCGTACAAAGTGCAAAAAATGCAGCCGGACATCCAGCATTGGACCTTCGGGAGACTAGAGCGCCAGGCCAATGGCACTTTCAAGGACTCGGATCTTGCCGGCATCCTGCATAACGCGACGGAGAACCCGGCTGCTGCTTTCAGAGCTCGGGGCACTCCACCATCCATGAGGTTACATGAGATGATGGGGATTGAACAGAACCGGCGCTGGGGTGTCTGTAGTCTGAATGATTTCCGAAGGGTTCGCCTGTCTGCTCACCAAATGCGCATTTACTGACTCTTCCTCCAGTACCTGGGCCTGAAGCGTAAAAGAAGCTGCTGTCAAACTGCCGTTCTCTGCTCACGTTTTCGCAGCATATGCGACGTTCCTCGAATGGAACCCGGACCCTATCATTGCCGACGCTGCGGAGAAGCTTTACGGCAACATCGAGTCCCTCGAGCTGTACGTCGGATTGCAAGCGGAGGAGGTTAAGCCTGTCGTGGACGGTGCCGGACTTTGCCCTGGTAAGTATGAGCTTACGCGGAAGATCCCCGTTGACGAAGCTTGACCAGGTTACACCATCAGTCGTGCGATCCTCAGTGACGCCATTGCCTTGACTCGGTGCGTGTCTGGCTCCAAGCCGTGCACGTAAGACTCACCCATCGCACAGCGGAGATCGACACTTCACGCAGGACTACACGCCCTACAATCTGACTGCCTGGGGCTTCGCAGACTGCCAGCGAGATCCCGATGCGTTCGGTTAGTTCCGGGACCGCTCATTGCCTGCGTTGATCTGAATGCGCGCAAGGTTTCGGAAGCACTCTTGGACGGCTTTTCCTCCGCACACTTCCGAACAGTTTTACGGAGAACAGCGTATACACCTTCTTCCCGTTGATGACCCCCGGTGCCATGAAGACCAACCTGACCAAGCTGCATCTCGTCCAAGACTATGACCTCACTCGGCCGCAGGACATCGCTCCTCCAGTGTCGATCCAGAACTACAACCAAATTGCGGAGATCATGCAAAATGGCAAATTGATTGCTCCCTATGCGGAACGAGCCGCCAAGGTCGTCAAGGGCAAGGGGTCAGTGATCATGACTGGGGAATCATACACAAGCTGATGTTCCGTAGTTTCTTCATTGCCGAGGGTGATGCTGAGCAAAAAGAAATCTACACCAAGCTCTTCAACTACCCTGAGACCGAGAACAAGATCGGCGCGTTCTTCCGCGAGAAGGCTGGGAGCTTGATTGCAGAGCACTCGTTCACCCTTGTGGGCGGCAAGACCGCTGTAGTCGACGTCGTTCGGGACGTGCTCAAGGTCCTTCCTGTGTACTGGGCGGCAGATATCTCGGGCCTCACTCTCAAGACCAAAGAAACTCCGCACGGAGACTATTCTCCCGCGGATCTGTACGACATGCTGAGTGATATCTATTCTTACATCTTCTTGGATGGCGAAAAGGCCAAGAGCATGAACTTGCGCACCCAAGTGCAGGGGCACATCGATGGCCTGCTGTCGCACATCAAGTCCCATCTTGGCTTGAGCTCCCGGGTGTGTTTGGACTGTTGACATGTTTCCTGAACCTGCGGCTCAAGGATCACAGCTTTCTGTCGTCGAGTCTCTGTTTACGAAGAAGAAGAACGAGCCGGAGCAGCACGAGATCGTCAAGCGCCTGCGTGAGATGGGCCATGGATCTGAGGCTGCCACCATCATCCTTGCTCTGATGGTCGGGTCGACGGCGGAGCTTTCTTTGGGTGTGTCGAACTGGCTTTCTGATATTCAGTCGTTCATTCGTCAGGCCTCGTCAACATGATCAATACGTTCCTCGACACGGATGCTGATGCGAAGGTCCGCTCCGCGGTTGCGTCCAAGAGCGATCTGGACGGTTTCGTTCATGAATCCCAGCGTGAGTCAGCCAGGTCTACACTGCTGGTCTATCTGACCTCATGTATCTGCAGGACTCGATCCTCCATTCCAGGGAGTCTACCGTATGCCACGTACTGTTCCGTCACTCGGTATTTACACATCATTGCAGGCACTGCTACCGACGATGTGACAGTTGGGGGAACCAAGTTTAACAAAGGCACCCGCATCTTCCTGGACGTCGGCGATGCCAGTCTCGACACGAGTGTCTTCCCAGAGCCGACGGTCATTGATCCGAGTCGCCACCCGGAAGCAGGCTACATCCATCCAGATGGAGCATTCAAGTACCTGGGCGAGAAACTGACTTTGCGGATCATGTCCGAAGTTTTGCGCTCGGTTTACTCTTTGAAGAATGTCGCCCGCGCGCCGGGTCAATCTGGCAAGCTCAAGAGGTCTGATTGCATGTACAGGGTCCATGTGATGCGATGGCTCAATGCTCTCTTTCAGATTCAAGGACGGATCGCGCCCAGATTTGCGCTACGGATATCTTGATGATGCGATGTTTGTTTGTCCCTGGCCCACAAGCATGGCCATCCAGGTGGGCTAATCGCTTGTGCCAATCACGCTGTGCTGATTTGCCGTCCATCTCAAGTACGATGTTTGAGCGAGGAAATTGGACGGAGATGCTTTCTCAGTAGTTTGTCACGCGTATCCTCACTATGCATGAATGTACTTGACCGAAATGGACTTGCGTTTGACTCAATGGCAGCCCGAAACTAAAGACCTCTTTCGCAACGTGACCGTAGCTCTAGGCTGGCCGAATGTTGTGAAACCACGCGCTTCAGCAAGTTTAGGTAAATCTTTCATCGCTTCCTTGCAACTTTTCTCTCTCTCATTGTCTGCAGTCTAATTGTGTCTGGTCCAGCAAGTGCGACCCCCCCTTCCTCGCCCTCTCGAAAAGTTCCCTGGTTCCGGCTGGCCCGGCGCTGATCGGGCGTCGGTGACTTGCCTCTAAAGCCACCGATCAAACTAAGCTGTCCCGCCACGGCGTGCCTTTCAGATTGCTCTCATCTTCTGACTTTCTGTGTTCTGCTGTGTCGCTCTGGATCTTCGAGTCGCATACATAGAAGTCCACAGACATGGCTGGTGAACCCATCAAGTCACCCGGCCACGGCGATCTTCTTTCGGCACGTGAACGCGTCTTTCTGACCCACTCCTGTCATGTCCGACGAACCCGACGAGTACGACGGCCAAACGAGCCTCAAGAAGAGGAAGATCCAGCGCGCATGTGACTCATGCCGACGCAAGAAAAGTGCGTTCCCCGGAATTGCCATGTGCGTCGACTGACGGGGGCTGGCGGCGCTGTGTAGTCCGATGTATGTGGAGGCGGAACGTCCGGCAGCAAAGCTCCTAATGCATGTTCGGAATCTAGGCGATGCGGCCCAGATGCCCATAGGCACGCAGTGCTCCACTTGTGCCTCGTACGGATCCCAGTGCTCGTATGTGGAGGCAGCCAAGGTGAGGACATCAACGGTAGTTCTCGGGCGCTTGCAGACCGAATTCACAGAAACGGGGTCCTCCAAAAGGGTAAGCACCTTCCATCTCATGGGGGCTGAATGTCGGTATACGATGGCGCGCGTGCAGGTACATCGAGAGCATCGAAAGTCGCATTGCAAGGATAGAACAATTTCTGAAGACAGTGAGATCTATGATAGCAACCTGGGTCCTTCTCACCCTCTCTCAGTCGGCCGGAAGCGCATCAGGAACATGGAGGCCATCACAACCCACAGACGAAGACGATGATGTCGCTTTTCAGCTCAATCTCACCGAAAATCTGCAACGCCTTTCCCTGAACACCGAAAGGGACGATCTGTTCTATGGGCGGTCTTCCGGCACTATGCTCTTACAGACTGCGTTGGACTACAAACAGCATCTAGAGCCTCCAGCTGACCGCCGGCCCATCCAGTTTTGGGCCGCACGTCCTGTTCGTCGCTCCTAGCCGCTGCTGCCTGTGAATCCTTGGCGTCACTTACCCGTGCCTGCAGGTTCATGAACCCCAGCCTCGTGCACAGTACCGGTTCCCACCTCCGGATCTGACAAATGCTCTTGTGGAATTATACTTTGCCGAAGTGAACAGCTTTCTGCCCTTGTTGCACCGCCCGACATTTGTTCGTGATCTCAGGGCAGAGTTGCACCTGGTCAATGATGGCTTCGCTTCGACGCTTCTTCTTGTCTGCGCCATTGGCGCTAGATATAGCCTTGACCCCCGCGTGCTCATCTCCGGCAGCGACGATCGATACTCGCGCGGATGGCCCTGGTTTGAGCAGGTGCAGCTGGTCCGCGATCCGCTGGGCCCTTCGCCGACTGTGTACGATGTGCAGTCCAATGCCGTATGCTGCTGTCCACTTCTTATCGCTTCTTGTCGGCTGAGCGCGCACGGCAGCTGTCTGTTACATTTCTACACGGCTCGTCAGTCCCGCAGTGCTGTTGGACGCTCGTTGCCATGGGTATTCGTATGGCGCAGGACGTCGGTGAGAACATTTCTTCCCCTTTCCGAGCCTGAGCTGACTAAGTGTGATCAGGCGCCCATCGACGGAAAGATGGAACCCATGTATGGACAGTCGAGGATGAATTGTGGAAGAGAGCGTTCTGGTGCGATATCATCGGATTTAGCTATAACCCCACTGACGACAAGACCTTCGAAGGGTTCTTATTATGCTGGATAGGATGTCTTCGCTCCAGCATGGGCGGCCGGTCACGATCCAGGACGAAGAGCGAGTCTGTTGGGCTTCTATCGACATACGATCCTGACCTCGTTTTAGCTTTGATCTTGATTTCCCAATTGAATGCGACGACGAATTCTGGGAAACTGAAGATCCCGCCTTGGCATTCCGTCAGCCGAAAAATCGGCCATCCACCATTTGTGGTTTCAATGCTTTCCTGCGGCTTTCCCAAGTGCTATCTTTTGCTCTCCGAACTCTTGTAGGCTTTGACATCATCGCTCCATCGCCAAACTGACGGGTCTTTGCAGTACTCCACTATCAAGTCGAAAGCCTTATTCAGTCTCACCAAGGACAAGAGCTGGAGCAGCCGCATTGTCGCTGAATTAGATTCTGCTTTGGACAAGTGGCTGCGAGAACTGCCTGAACACCGTGCGTTATTTAATCCAGCAGGGACATTCAGTCACACACCACCCGCAGTGAGATGGAGTTCCATCATGGAAAACGAAGAATTCTTCCAGCAATCGGTATCTCTGCACTGCAGCTACTATCACATCCGGATTACTGTTCACCGCCGACTCATACCGATGAACACGTCAACGAAAACGTCTTCCGTTAGTCATCCATGCATCCCACGGTCTGCACCACCAGTCCTCACCCTCCACTGCCTAGGCCTTTTCGTCTCTTGCGGTCTGTGTCAACGCAGCCAAAGCGTGTTGTCGTGTGGTGGACGCTTATCAGCGCCGGTTTGGAGATCGGCCTCTGCCGCAGAGCCAGGTTTGCGACGTGCTCTCCCTCTTCTGCCCGCAGCTGATGCAATAACAGCTGCCTGTTTACACGGCGGGATTGATACTGCTGTTGAACTACTGGGGCGGCGAGTACAACGGTCTGGGGCTGACCACCGACCCAATCCAGGACTCTGCGGACGTCAAGCGCTGCATGCGCTTCATCAAAGCCGGCGAAGAGCGGTGCGTGCTTGTGTTGGCTCACTTTTCTGTACGATACTCACCGGGGTGTCTGTCGTCTTCCAGCTGGTTCTCTTCCGGCGTACTCTATGATCTTCTGTTTGAACTGAGCGACATCGGCAGATCGTTAGGCACGACCATGCCCCAGAGCAAAAAGGACCGAGATACGAATGAAGCCAAGGAGCAGTTCAGGAGCCACGGCGACTTCAAAAACCACGGCGATCCGCTCGATGATCCCGCTAGCAGCCGACGGCGGCCAAGTTATCCGGTCGTCCCACCCATCGATACCCAGTTCCATGTGCCCCCTGCCGGCTATTACCAGGAGACCCCGATCTCGGGAACGTCTCCCGAGCAATACCGCGCGCACTCGTCATACTCCTACCCGCAGACCTCGTTGTCGAGCGCCTCGAGTCGCAGCCGCGTCTCAGACGTCCATCATCTGCCTGCCGAAACGCCGCTCTCTTCGACTTCCGGCCATCGAAGCCACTACGAGGAGCCACCCAAAAGAATGGGATACGTTCCTGTTCCTGCTGGATATGCCGCCAATCAACCAGCGCGCAACTGGTACCCGGGCGGTGACACGACCATGTCACACCCGCCCTCGGCACCTCCATCCCAATCCCCATCTTTCCCCGTCTCCGAGGCTTTCTACAACCATATTGCCACCAATTATTCGCCATACCAGGACCATCCGACTCACAGGCACATTCCCCGCGAGGATGGAATGCAAATGTGGAGTGCTTGGGACGCTTATCCGAGCCAGGGGTCAGACCCAGACCCACGACTCCGCTAAATACCACGCTAGATCTGCCAAATACCATCTGTATTGTACTTGCATAACTTACTTGAATACTAAGTTAAGTACGTTGTTGAAATCGATAGAATGTATCTGGCTGTGACCCATTGTGTCACACTTGTCCAATCATCATTCGCATCAGATGTCAGAGAAAAATGTTGAGCGCATTCGCCGCTCGCAAGGCACAGGCCGCGAACGCGCCGCCCGCCTCTGCCTCAGCTCCACCTCAGCCGGTCTCGAGCAGCAATGTTATTCAACAGCAGATTCCGCAGTCTCCGATCTCTGCCCGACCGATCTCCAAGCGAAAATCAAGTTCGCAGCAGCAGACCCCGCCCTCATCGAAGAAGCACAAAAAGAAACGCGAGCCGGAGGTGAGGCGCGTGCGGTACTTTGAAAACGCGCTGGAAGAGCGCGAGCCGGATCTGATCGTGATCGACTCTGAGGAGGAAGTGGAGGTGGAAGCGGATGAATCGACGACGACACCAACAACGACATCTCGCCCACCCCAGACTGGGCAGCGTGCATGGTCTCCTAGTGCCCCCTTAAACGACTCTTCCGAAGACGAAGATGAGGAGGATCAAAGTAATACTTCAAGGGCTCCCGCCAGCACTCCGCTCGTTCCGCACATCCCTCTCACGACGTTCCATGCAGTCCCTGACGAGACGCTCTTCTGCCTCGGACATGAAGAAAAGCTGCTCCTGGGTCTCTCCGGTGACGCAGCGGCCTCGCTGCTTGTGCTGACGCCGGGGCAAACACTCACCTTGCTCGGCGTCTATGCGCTCACCGTCCTGCGCGGCGCAGTATCGCTGTACGGGGTCACGCTGAACGCGTCTCCGGCGGCGCAACGCGTCTACGCGCCGAGGAGCTCGGCCCTGGCCGTACTCAAGGCCATCGCGACGTCTGCGCGTGCGGGGCTGAACAAGCTGGACGTGCCGCCGAGAGCACGGGCCGCATGTGCGGAGGGGCGAGCGGTCGTGGTGTTGCAGCAGCTCAAGACGGGAGTGGAGGGACTTGGACGGATCGTGCAGACGTTCGGCGGGGTGTTCGAGCCGTCAAGGCGGATGGACGAGGCGGAGGACGTGCTCCAGATCCCAGGCGTGTATGCGGTATGTGCTATCATTGCATTCATTGGCACACATACCGATCGCATTCCAAAGGTCGCGCGTCAAAGCAAGGATCTTTTGCCATTCGTGATTTCCCCAAGTTGGGAGGCGGGCCTGGCCTCCGTGTCTGATGCTCCGTCCGGGATATTTCTCGTCAAAGGCCACAAAAAGGCAGGGAAAAGCACTTTTTGTCGGACATTAGTGAATCAGTTGCTTGGCAGGTAGTAGATTCTCCGTCAGAGATGCTCCGTCTGATTATCTGCCCAGATTCAGCAAGGTGGCCTATCTTGAATGCGATCTAGGACAATCTGAATTCACGCCCGGTGGGTTGGTGGCTCTGAATATTGTTGAAAAGCTCGTGTTTGGTAAGGAGACGTCCGTCAAGTGTAATGAATGTGCTCTGATGATGTTTTGCAGGCCCTCCGTTCTCACACCCAAGCATCCCGAATTACGCTCACTACATTGGGCAGCTGACTCCGCGGTCTTCGCCCTCGCATTATCTAAGTGCGATACAATCTGCGATAGAAAGCTATCAGCTGGATGTCCAGACGCCAGCGACCCCGGGACCGGATGAAGGACGGATATCAGCCTGCATCCCGCTTGTGGTGAACACGATGGGCTGGTCGAAAGGTCTGGGGGCTGATCTGACGCTGTCAATCGAAGCGATCGTGCGCCCGACACACATCTTCCAATTCGAGCCGCCTGAAACTCACGCGGTCCCGGATGATCTACCTGCTGCCCATATCCATCTTCTCCAGCCCATAGCGCCATCCGGGCTGTCGGATACGTTCACAGCCTCGGACAGCCGCGCGATCTCGATGCTCTCGTACTTCCACGCCTTTTTTCCCCACGGAAAAACGGGCGGTGACGGAGAATCGGGGGAAATGCCGGAGGTGGAGATGCGAGCAGAGAGCTGGAACACCGCAGTGCCGCTGAGCGGTCGTGCGCCGTACGAGGTCGATTGGGCTGCCGCATTCGACAAAATCGTGCTGAGTGGCGCTGGAGCCGAAGATGTCGTTCCCTCCGAGATCGATCGGGTCCTCAATGGCGCTTTGGTCGGTCTCGTCGCTTGTGAACCGGGATCACTCGATGTGCAGATGTCAGCAAATCCAGTTCCCTCTGGAAACTCTATTCCCTACACTCAGGGCGATGGGCCACCATCAACTTCAACCTCGAACTGCCGCGGCCTTGCTTTCATCCGGGCAGTTTCGCCCAACGCGTGCCACATTCTCACCCCTCTCCCGCCGCGGTACCTCGCGAACGGCCGAGTCCTAGTCAAAGGCGAAATGGAACTCCCAGTTTGGGGGATGCTTGACTTTCGGGAGCAGGGAGAGAACCCCAAAGCCCCATTTCTGCAGTGGGATAAAAGCGAAGGTCTAGGCGCGGAAAAGCGCCGGATTCGGCGAAATTTGATGCGCAAGGGACAGATGTAATTCCATTTACAGGCAGTTGATACAGTCTCCATAATACATAACAGAATTAAAGTTACATGAGCTCGGAGAAGAAGAAGTCAGTGTTGGCAGGCGGGGGGCCAGCGACCAATCCGCTCGGTATCTCGACCATTTCCCCCGTCAAATCTGAACATCTTGGTGAGCAGGTTTGTTTCATGACACAGCCAGTGCTGCCACTGACCCAAAAGCTTGATCTTGAGCCCAATCTCCGTCAATGCCTGGACAAAGCCAGCCGTCTCATCGGAAGAGACGTGCCCGCTGTCCCGGCGCAGCATGTTCAGGCCATCCGTCCAATCAGCCCAACGCGACTGGTCGGGTGCAACTTGATCAGCCAGCGATCCTTGATGAGCACTGAGCAGGGAAAATGACAGCGGCGATGCGGTCGGCGGTGAGGTCGGCGGTAGATCCCCCTGTTCGCGCAGAACATTTGGGGGAGCGAAACCAGTGCCTGTCGCGATTTCGCTGATCGCAGAAACATCGATCCGCTCTGGGAGATCCTCGAACCCACTGCGCACAGCGAATTTGACGGTGCTGTCGGTATAGTACAGATACTTGAGCCCTGGGTCCTACATCTCAAGTCAGCAACTTTACTCGACCGAAGCATCCCATACCAACCAATCGCATAAAGCGCCAGGGTCGTGTCGGCCGCCGAGGTGCTTCACGTGCTGCAGAAGAACCCGATGGAACAGCGTTAATGAACCAGGCGCCCTGAAGCAGACACTGTATTCTCTGTTGTTTGACGAATTCGAATGACTCCTTGTACAACTTGGCTCGCAGGTTACTGCAGTAGGTCAATCAGTCAGCGATCGCATGTGACAGATGTGACAGACCGAATGGGAATCTTGCTCAGCAAGTCATCCTCCAGCTCCAGGTCTTTCATCTGCCTTTCCCGCACACGCCGGTACTCGCATTCATTGAAATCACGCTCGACCTCGTGCCAGGCTCGCACATTCTCGCTGCGAAGTGCCAATTTCGATCTAGAAATGGGGTTAATCTCCCTTCAATCACCACATCAGCGCGGACATACTGGCTTCGGACCAAAGCAGCAACCCGCGCAAAGTCACCAGCAGCAGCTCCACTGTCCGACCACATTCGGATGAAGAAACGGGTCGCTAATGCGTGCACCCGATAGAAGTCGAGGAAGAACGGCTGGAATGCTATCGAGGTTGAATATCCCGGTGCAAAAATCGCCCAGTGCTCTGATAGCATCTCGACCACTTCGTTCGACGCTTTGGCTATGGGACAGCGCCGATTGGGCGGACGGCTCAGTTGTTCTTGAACGATCTATCTGCATGTCAAACAATCTGAAGGACAGGTCGACGTGCACTCACTTTGGGAAAATCCGGGTCTGTCTCGATGAACTTGTGCTGTAAGTGGTCAGAATCCTATGATAAAGATACAAAAACGGTGGAGGACAGACCAAGCATTCCAAGCCCAACACCCCGACATCAGTGAACTCCATTTCGACGTTCTCCGAGTCAAAACCTAGCAGTCGCCATTTCATCAGATGTCCGTTGCTGTCGATGACTTCTGATACATGACTGCTAGCCCATATGGCCTTGAGCGCTGCGGCATGGGCGGGCTCGCTTTCTGGATCGATCATCGTAGTCTTCTTACGATAGGTCACGCGGATGAGATTGGCTTGAAAGTCGAGGATGGATGAGGTCAGGTCCTCGCTTGTATGCGAGGACATCAGTTTCTGAGAATAGGTGAGACGAAGGCTCAGATTCCGAGTAACGAGGCGCAACACACCACGATTGCTTTTCGGACATTGAGTCGTTCGAGTTCGGATATGAATTCTTCCCATCGAGCGTCGCTCGCATGCGAAAGAAGTGAGTTGATCAGCATGATGCTAGAAACGATCGTAAGGCTGTTCAGAACGAGTGACGATGCACCGAACCTGTATTGAGCCATAGCAGTATCTGCACTGCCCAGACGACTGATCACAGTTTCCAGAAATCCTCGGCCCTTCCTCATCTGCTCAAAGACAACAGAGAATCCATAGCGGTAGACAGAGTCGTCCGAGACAGCCGGTGGCAGCCGACTAGATCCAGCAAGCTGCATGCCAGGAGCACTCATCGGATCCGCTTCGACCAGCTTCTTCAAGATGGCCGTCGCCGGACGACAGACATTGATCAGCGAAGTTGGCGAAGACAATATCTGGACGATCTGCAAGATGAACGCATCGTCAAGGGTTGCCCACCCGTAGTCAAGCTCCATCAGATTCTGCATGGCGGTGAGTGCGTACTGACAAGCAGTCAGTCATTCAGTGTAAGGAAGAACAGTGAGCACTCGCACGTACCGCCAAGGTGTTACCGTGCGCGCTGAAGATCACGTCTATGAGGTCTGACAAGCCAGAGCAGTTGATAAAAGATTGAGCAAATTGCTCTTCCTGAAGCTATCTGAGACACAGATTGCAGATATGACTACAGAAAACCGTACTCGAATGTACTTTTGCAGAGTAAATAAAGTCATCTTGAGGGCGTCTTCACGTAGCTTCAACTTGTCGGCGACCTCGCGCGCTTCTCGAGCTGGTGCGTCGACCAGCCTGAGCCCAGGGTTAGAAAGGACGAGCAAGGGATGACCGTGAACCCAACGTACTTGAGGTTGACCTTGGCCTTGATCTTCTTCCTCAGGTTGTCGTTGGTGACAAGTTCATCGCTCTCATCCCTCAACGCAAAATGCCCGGGTGGTTCGTTGATTTGAAGATTGATACAAAGTTGCCTCACGACATCGTCGACTGTGAGAACTGGATCGATGCGGGTACGGACAGTCAGACCAGAAGCAGTGGTAACTGTGTTGGTGGGGACAAGTGGGACGCTTGGGCCATTATTGGACGTCGAGGCGCCGTTAGACATTGACCGAAGAAGGCCGGCAGAAGAAATTGACGATAGTGAGCACTATTACTGAAGTCAGCCGTAAATGCACGGTCAGCGCGAGGACTGCAAGTGTTGTCAGTTCTGCGAACATAAGCGGAACGATAAGAGAAGGGTCAGAAATGCGAAATTTAGCGTCCTGTGCGGAGAACTCTGAAAGTCTCTACTCTGACTGACGTGCAAATATATCTAGGTCTCATCTGGAGGTAAGAAAAGCATGAGCGGCGGACTCACTGATCTTCGACCGCGATGAGACGACGGAGATAGTGAGCGCGAGTGACTACTAAGCGACTGCTATCGGAAGCGAGTGTGTTTAGGCCAGTTTGGATGGTGTTGGACGACGCAGACGCGGCGAGAGTTGAGCGAGTGTGGTCAGGTGCAAAAGACGCCTGATCGTTTTTACCTTACGTAACCACCCTTTATCGTCCGTGGCTGACTAAGCATTTGCAGAACTCGTTCACATTACATTGTGCTTTTGAGAGACGTCTGAGAATGGTTCCGGGGAGCTCTCTACCCTCACAGGACCTTTTCTTCAACAATCGGTCTTCTGTTGTGCCATCGAAATTCGAGAATGATCATCGTGGCGTTATCATTCACAGGGGCAATGAGATGTCTTGGTCTCCGAACAACTGAACCAATTTCTCAGCTTTCTCAGTCATTCCCAACGAAATCTGTGTTCGCTCAAATTAAATTGAGCGGTCTCGGGGAGAGCAGAGGCTTCTCACGTGACAGTCGAAGCTTTGCACGTGCACAGAGTCGGCAGGGTATGTGACTTGCATTTGCTCGTCAGACATGCTTTGGAATCAGACTGGTGTAGCGCCACCCGGAACCATCAATGCGCCTGTCTGTATCCGCTCCCGACGCGACATCGAGCGAACGCCAGAAGCTCTGCAAGATACCTATCGGAGACTGCCAGTGGGCACCTTGTGTGTTCGGAAAGAAGTCGCGACAGCACCCGTTCACAGCCACGGCGCTATTGGCTTCTCTTAGGCTCATCAAGCGCCGCAAGAATTAACCGTATGCGCTAGTCTCCCGAGAACGACATCGTGTGCAAACGGGTATCTGGAATGATATACTTTCAGAAGGTACGTACGTCTCGCACCGGTGCCGCGCCAGCCCGTTTTCTTCGGCATCGTTGCACGTTGGTACGCACGACATCCGCCAAAGACCCGAACTGGATGCCGGTCCCCGACGGCGTCTGATGCCCACCAGACGGCTACAGTTGACCAGGATCTCGGGGTCACACACACGCGGAAGCGAGGTCATCCGGCATCCTCACACGATATCGATCTGAACGCCAAGACGCGATCCTGTCGCTGCAGAATCCTGATGGCGTATTTGAAGTGCGGGAGTCTTGAGTCCATGTGGACTGCTAGATTCATTGCCGGATCATCTTGGATGTCGACGGAACATGGGGCTCTGAAACAGACATTTGTACAGATGTGTACTCGAATACATTGGGAATAACGTTCATTCACGAGCATCTTGCAATTGATTCCAATTCATTACATTGCCCGACCGCCTCGGGAAGCGCCTCTGCCGGCGAAACCGACGCGGAAGATCCCACCACCGAATGGAAGATTAGGAAAGTCTGGCCCGTGAAGGGGAAGTCCTCGACCTCGTCTGTGGAATATCTGACGACGCTCCGGCTGAATTTCCTCTTGCTCCAGCTCATCGTCGTCATCGGCCTACACAACGAATCAGCAAACATTAACCAGCGTCATCAGTTGCTTGACCTCAAGGTCGATTGCTAAAGCACCTAAAAACAGCATCAGCAACTGACCCAGTCAACGGAACAGATCAACCGCTGACCTGTGTGCCAGCCGGCGGCACATGCCAAAAAACAGAAACGTTCCTTGGGTGACTTGCGTGCATGATCGAATCGGACAGGCGTGGGGACAGTTGTATCGGGAGGGCTGCCGGCTTCACGCTCAATCGCGTTCAAACGCTGGGCTTCCGTCGCAAATCCACCGGGAGAACCGGCTGGCAATTGGGTGGGATCGCCGAGACCCAGAGCTCCGTTGGAATATGCCCCCCAAGTGAAGAGTTTGCCCGACGATGTCAGAGCTGCAAAGTGCCAATCGCCAACGAGCACAGAAATGACAGATTTATCGACAAGCGCAGCTTCAATGTAAGGGATGGATTCTCCCGTGGCATCGGTATTCCCCATGAGTACAACGGAACTCGGACCGGTCGAGTATGCGAAGAATCTCTCGAAATTGGCTGATATCTAGGCGCGCCGTCTGGATCTGGCATGGCAAGCAAGATTTGGCTCACATGTGTGATCTTCATAGTCCGTGGCGGTGCCACATCTGTACTAAATGGAGGCACAGACTGCACGCGATCGAGCTCGCTGAAGTTGGGAAGCTGTAGGATTGTGATTAAACAACAAGTGAAAGAAGACAACATTGCGCACATATGACCATCGACCGCTGGCCACCGTATCTTCATCAGACAAGCCAGAAAACATGAGAACATGCCCATGATTAGTCAGCGCGATTAGATTCGCATCCATGCCCGCAATCTAATTCAGCTTCAGCGGTTGCCATGCCGTGCGTTGAATCAATCACCTTGATTATCTTGGGTTCTCCGTCGACTTCCTCCCCAGTTTCGGTCATTCTGGGCAGCGACGGGATTGGCGGAAGCCTGTACGGATCCACCTTCAGCTCCCAGGTCACGCACGGAATGACACCGTCTGGCAATGCTCGCGCGGCGAATTGACGTTGGTCATCCATCTCCGCAAATTTAGCATCGGTCTCTTGCTCCATACTTCCGGAACGAGGCCACCACACGAAGACCTCATTCGATCTCGTCAAGAGAGACGAGAAGCCCCACCCACATTCCACTTGGACTGGCCGCGAGTCGTTCGTGATGTGTTGCGAGGCCAGAACAAACGGACGTCCCCAGTTGACAAACGTCCAGACTTGTCCCGTCGAGCTCAGCGCAGAAGCATGCAACCGACCGCAGCTTGATGCATATTATTCATGTTGCTTAAGAGAGCAGCGGAGGCAACTCACCTGATTTGTGTTATGTAGCTGGGTAACTCCAATCGCAAAGGTTTCGGGGCAGTCTTGCCTGCCTGAGAATAACCATCGCTGTTCAAAGTCATCGTAGTGCCATCCAGGGTGCCCCAAACAAAAATGTGTCCTTCGGAGTCCAATGCATGGAAAGACCTTGCCATAATCAGTGAACGTGACGAACAATACAACAGACAAGCACACATTCCACCGGCCACCAAACTCACAATCCGAACACCAGGAATTTTGAGTTCGGTTGGGAATGGGACGCCACCGGCTGAGCGATTGTGTTTGGGGATTTTATCTCCTAGACCCAGACGTCCACGGGTATATTCTCTGTCTCAGCTTTATTGATCGTAATGTGTCGGTCAGTCAGGGACGGCTTACCCCCATACAAATACTGGATAGCATTTAGGTGGGGAGCGATCGGAGGTCAAGTCACAGCACCTTTGGGATTGTAGAGGCCACGATAGATGAATTGCCAGCCGCTGACACGCGCAGTGTCGGCGCCTAACACGACATCAGCCGCAAATAGATGCGTTACGACGCGTTTGATCACCTGAGAAATTGAAATCCTCCTGAAGTTTTCGTTGCCAGAAAACCTCGTCAGAACACAAGTTGGCAAAGAACTGTGGACCGATATGACGCGTGAGTCTCGCTTAGATGTGTGGCAGGCACCTTGTTCGTGCAGGCGAGCCGGAGGATGCTCTGCACATCGAAGAACGGGACGAGATGGTCGATAAGGAGTTCGACGGGCAGCATTTCAATCGTAGTCATGATGGTCGAGTATGGAGCTAGAGCTGCGCCCAATTCTACGCAGGCATCAAGTGAGATGACGTCAATTGAAGCCCTAACCCTGAGGACAGATAGCTACGGCCCGGATTGTCGATATCAGGTTCTGCTACGTACTTACTCACCGACGATATCTATGAAAGCTGCGATCAATTGTTTGGGAAGGACACAGATCCGGTGACCGGGAACGTGAGAGTCTGGCCAGTGACCATCGGTGAACTGGTGCCTCAAGACCATGGCGCGGTGACTTGATAAGGCGCTTGACCGCATACCGTGACCATCCTTGGCACTCTCGCGAATACGTTCACGTCGTGCATTCATCAATTACACGCTGCGGAACGTTCCGCTCGCGCGATAACGTTCTATTTACTGTAGACACTCGGCGTCTTGCACGTTCTTGGTCCCGGCCCCCGACTGTTTCGACCTTGAATGGATGCTGTCTGGCTGCTACCTACGGGTGCGTGGAATCTCGGGAAGCTCTTACAACGATCCTTCGGGTCAGCTCCGTTTCCATGCGACCTGATGAGGCAGTAAAAGCTGAAGATCTGCGTCCAAGACGTCACGGTCGGGCGCGCATGAGTGTGCAGTCACAACAGCTTACATCGCAGATCTTTCAAATTTACGCGCGACCTCCACCATCCGTCACGGGCACACGCCTATCTTCAAGATGTGAAGCACATATATAGATCCCGCTCGCTCCTATTGGTCCCTCCATCGAACAGATGTAAGCCGAGCATCATCTGCTCGCTTCATCTACACTTTTCCGGCGCTGTTTGATGCGTGCTGAACGTGAGTTGATGACCGCGTTGAGGCTCCCACTCATGGGTGGGTGGTGTTCAGGGATCCGTTAAGGTTGCTCACGTAAGAGAAGGCAGCCACCTTGAGAAGCCATCGCAGTTGGCTTGCCAATCGGAAGAGAAGTCGCGAAGCAGACATTCGCTTCCGATGGACAGATTTTGTGAAGGACAGAATGCTTATTTTGTCTAGCGGGTCAATGTACAAGTTGTGGTAGCAGTACGAAACAATATACAGTGCATATGATGGAATAAGTTACATACCGTATAACAGGTAAGTATGTGCAGCAATAAATCCAAGAGTAGCGTAGTCAGCATGATAACAGGACGACGGGCAGACAGATGTAATGGAGATGACACACGACCCCAAGAAAACATGTCCGTGGGCAAGAAAGGGATGCGACATCGCTCAGTACTCGTCGCCGCTGCCTTCGCGACGTTTAGCATAGTAGCTGTCGGCCACGGCAGCATAGGTCTCTGTCCCGTGAGCATGCGCAGGGCCAACCAGGGGTGTCAACAACATGCTGTTCGACGGAAGGCGCGCCCTGGGCGTGGACGCTGAGTGGTTATACATCTCAGTGGCTGAGCCCGAGCCACCCGAGTCAATGTATCCATAAGCACTGGACGGTGAATGCTGCTGACCCTGATACAGATCCAGCCGCGAAGACGACGTCCATGGACCCGAAGCAGCCGGCCGGAAGTCTGCACCGCCGTAAGCCTGTGCCGTGTGCGCGTGAGCGTCCGGACTATATCGAAGCGGATGTGTTGATGTGTGGGCATCGACGCCGTAAGCATGATGCGGTAAAGAGGCGGACAACGGCGGAGACAGACCGGACGCGGAGTGGTGCGAAAATGATCGATGGTGGTGCGGGGGTCCATGCATGTAAGAGGGAGACTGGTACAGATCCTCCCGTCGAAGTCCCATCCCGAAACCCATGCTCATGCTTCTTCGCAACGCACCCGCGCCCGCCATGGAGGATGCCTCCGCCTCCTTCTTTGTTTTGCGCCAGAGCTTGCGCAGCTCCTTGAATTCTGCGGACCAGTTCATCAGACTATCGCGTGCAGAAAATTGAGTGATTTACCCCCTGGGCTTCTCTTGGGTCCATGCTTCTGCATCTGAACGTGTGCATTGAGATGATTCAGCGTGCCATAGGCTTTGGTGCACTCTGGCCACGAGCATTGATACAGGCGCTCGATCTCGTCGTAGCGGCGTCTTGGTCGTTTGCGGACGGCGTTGCCGGGCAGTGCCACGAACGAATATGTCTTCGAACTCGTAGGATCGTCCACAGAGTGCTGCTGGGGGCTGCGCTCCCCTGGTAATGCAGCTGGCATTGCCGCATTCGACGACGAGGATGTACCAGTTCCTGGCGGTGAAGGACCATAGGTATCCTCGCCCGCAGCAGTATCGGCACCGCCCCGAAAAGCAAACTGTAGTGGTGGAGAATTCGCGTAACCGCTCGCAAAGGAAGTTGGGAAGGAGGACAAATTGAGATTGTGCTCGACAGGTTCTTGTTTCCATTCGGGATGGGGGGCAGGAGATGCGTAGTTATGTCGCGAGAAGGGTGACTGCGGAGAATGGGGAGACGCCGGGTAAGAATATTGTGACTGCATGCGCTCTGTCGACGAGACATAGTTGGCTGTGGGTTCAGACAAACGGCGGTCAAAGATATTGGATGTGGATAGTTTAGGCAAAGTCCCATGCCGCGTTGGACGGTCCCCAAGCGAATCCGCACAAGATGAGGAATAGGCTGGGATCTGAAAACGATCCTGGCCACTAGGCGCGCTGAGGGGCATAGAGGACGCGTCGGGGGAGGGAGCGCTCCGAAATGACCCTCGCCCTGAGGTGTATGTGTATGGAGGAACATACGCGCCCACGGGTTGGCCGACTGTGCTGGAGGCCGTGTCCGAAGGGGAGCGCGACGCACGAGGCGCGTAGTGGTAATTGGGCCCTGAGGGCGAGCCGGGTGTATCGTCTTCCACCGTTCCAGAGGATGATCGCGAAAGCGGGGAGACGCTATCAGCCACGAGCCGGTTTATTTCTTGGAAGAGAGTAGCAGAGGAGCGGGGAACGGTCTGGGGGTCGGGCACGTCGTGAGTGTGGTCGAAGCGGGGCAGATGGAGGGAAGGAGGATGGAGGTGCGAGAGCATCGCGGGGCAGGGCACGGAAGTGGACGGCGCGCTTTTGAGAGCACATCTAATATAACACAAATAATCGAGATAGTATTCGGGGACCCAATGGGGCTTCCTTGGAAGGCAGATCGTGGGAAGAAAAGACGGATGACCTCGGTTAGACCTGATTCCAGATCCGAGTCCCGATCTGGACAGCAAGATGGACGTCAGGTGAAGATGGTCACTCCTGCATCGTCCCGAGTTCGAATGGATTGTATCCAGCACAGAGCTGATCCCTTCTTCTACGCAGAACACCCGCGCTCTTATCACGCAACAAGAACCGACGCTCGCTTCCACTGCCGCAACTTCCGAATGCCGTTTCAGTCGCACTCGATGCACCAGAGCACGAGAAATACTGCTCAGGAACCGCTGCAAACTCCAAACGTTTCGCTGCCCCATCAATGTCCTGCCTGTTCATTATGTGCTTATGTGTATGACAATATTCCCAGTCTCGGGCCCGAGTTTCAGCGGTACACATCAGCGCAGCCCGCCCCAGTCGGGCACTCGCTCGCAGATGCCAGGTGCGTGCCCGTTGGGAAAGCAGCGAGCACATCACTGATTGCTCATCGCTCAGTGCCCAGCGTTTTCCGCGCCCAGAAATACACCTTCCAAGCCACATCAGGTCGCGTCCCGCTCAGCGCCTACAACCAGCACAAGCAATTGATAGCCTTCAAGCGAGGAAGAGCGGATCATTGCGGATGGCTTGAGCAAGGCTCAGCAGAACCCAGTTGGAGTAAGTACAGTAGAAGGGCCAAAAAAAACGCGCACACACGGGCGTTTTTCGCGGCACGGGTACACCGAATTTCGAAATAAAATAAAATAATCTTGATCTCTCGTGCCTGAATAACGGACTGAGGTGAAATGCATGACGGGGGCAAAGTCAAAACACCGCTTTTGGACGAGACAAGACCAAGGTCGATCCCAGATAGGTCGTAGATAAGTAGTCAACCGCAGATAAGTTGCAGGCCAGAGGAGAGCGGCACGTCTGCTGCTATGTGATGCCGCCCTGGCCGTATCCTGGATCTCCACTGTGCAGATCATGAGTTTTGAGCTGCCAGCGTTACGATATGTCTGACAGATGGAGAAAGTCAAAAAGGAAAATATCCCGAAACGGAATATGATGACAACATACGGGGGTCTTGTGATTCAGACGGACCAAACGCCGAACGGAAAAGTGAACGAAGCCGGCCAATCCCGACTAGTTAGCGACGCCAGGAACCTGAGCAGGAGGAGAACATAGCATGTCTGGGAAAGCTGTCGGCACTGTCAACCAGGGGAAGTGAAGCCCGGAGATCAAAGGAGCAGGGGCACAAGAGATATCGATGATCATTCGATAGACAGCAGCCAAGGATGGCGAGAGCGTGAGTCACTGGCAGATAACATGCAACCTGGTTGAGGCCAGACTGGTATCTTGTATATTGCTTGAACGCCCCCGAGAAACAGGGACATCGGGTGTCGCTCAGTGTGGGTGCGATGGCGCCGATCCGGATGGGGGTTCAGATTCGATTCGAAAGGGTTTATCATCGGGGAACAACGATCAGACATGGACAAGATCTCGTTGGTTCGCCGACTTTCGTTGAGGACAAGGGCCGGACCTATACACCGGTGACAGGTGACTGAGTGGTCAAGCCTCAAGGGAGGTCTGACCCTAACCACAGCGTTCCCCTTGCCTCTATTGATACCGTGATCCCATGGCTCGAACCACACGAGCAAGCTCGCCACCCACAAGACGCTCACTGCGGTTAAACAACTCAGGTAGGTGCTTATTCACTAGCAAATTCACTCCCCGGTCTCATGTCCTCTCACCCCCCACCAGAGCTAAATTCTAGCAATGTCTTCATCGAGCTCCCTCTACGACCAGCACGGCGACGCAAGGCGAAACAGATCGCTGCAGAGGCATCCACCTCCTCATTACCGCCCGACGAGAAACCATCCTGCTCTTCTGATGCGTTGAAGTCCCGCTCCCGTCGATCGACACGAATCACTCCAGCGGAACTGGTCCGCCGTGAAGCCGCCCTGATGATTCGAGAGACAGAGTACAAGCGAAGGTCGGATGAGCTGGGGAAGAAGGAAGATGAAGTCTCTGCATCCATGTCACAGGTTGCAGTGCGCGAGTCTCAAGCAATGCTGGCGGTTCTTGAGGAGCACTTCACATGTGCATTGTGCGTCCCGCTCCTTCAGTTCCGTGCTCACGCGCCAAGTCCCGTTCTCCAGATGCTATGAGATAATGGCACAACCGTATTCGCTTAATCCTGGTTCTTGCGGACACTCGTTCTGTGCATTATGCATATTAAGACATTTCTTTTCCCGCCTGCATAAAGCATGCGGAGGGTGGCATGAATCGGTGGACTGTCCCATGTGCCGCGCATTGCTGGTGATAACTCCGGATCGTACACCTCGTCTAGGTGCGCTCCTATCTTCGCTCTTCGTTTTGCCTCGATGACCGACTGACCGAAATCATCCAGATATCACATTTCCTTTTGTGAGCAGTCTCGCTTCCTCCTCGGCACTCAGCGTGTGTCCAATCCCGTTTCTTATTCGCAGGTTCCCAACCGGACGGCTGCCGCGGTCTGTGAATCTCTGATAGAGAAGCTGTCCTGTTCGTCTGTGAGCGCTAGGCCGATCGTCAAACAGGAGGAGAGCGACGGCAACGAGTGGAAGATGGAACGGGGCTGCAAGAAAGGGAAGTCGAAAGAAGAGGAGGAAATGGAAATAGAAGAAGGGACCTCTGAGCTCATGGCTTGGAGAGAGGGGGGAAATCTGCGGACAGACTGGCTGAAGAAGGATCTGTGAGTCGGTGACTTCTTGTCTCATCTCCGTGCACCCATCCACCTTGATAGCGAAGGCAAGAAGGAGATGGTATATCTATTCAATCATTGGACCAAACTCACAGGAAGCGATTTTATTCACCTCAAGCAGAAATATGGGGTGTGACAACTGATCAGATGCCCCACTCCATTGGTCACTATTACTATCTCAGTGCTCTCGCGTGGTCCCCGGCTGCTAGCGTCTCCGAACTCTGGTCCTTCTGTGATCTCTCTTCCGCTTGCCGCGTTTTTCTCGATCAACCTCCGCGTATTCAGCATCTAAAGGGAGTCAGTGCGGACTGCGCCATCGCACTGATATCCGAGCATTCATCTCACCTATTCGCATCGCTAGCATCCGTCCTGTACACAATTACTGGATCTCGTTTCATACCCGGACCCATCACGTTGTTTTCTACCATGATCTTGCATGTATGTCCACTTCGGTTGTGTATCGAGAAACACGTTGCCCAGGTCGCTCGTGAATATCACGACCGCTGGTTGTATCTTCTGGCTGTGTTGAGAAGGGAGATGAGTCTCTTTCTTGTCTCATGTCTCCGCCGCCGTGCCATAATCGTCCGGGCTGCCTTTCCAGCGTCATCATTCTTGACGGGGACATCTCTGACAGGGAGGTCACGCGCGCAGGGCATATTCGCTGGAATGGGGGGCATCAAAGCAAAGCTGAGGCTCAGACTGTTGGAACATCCCGGAGAAGGTCGGTGTTCAGTTCTATCTGAGAGATGTCTGTTTGCAATCTCGACGACGAATCATGGCGTCTTTCAGGAAGCCCATTTGCCGACGTATTCGGCTCTTGTCTGTCTTCCTCAGAAGCCAATGTTCCCAGTAATTGTGACGCCGCCGGCTCTGGATATCTCACGTTCCCAAGTGATTGCGACATCCCTTTCACTCCGTCTGATGTTCCGTCTGAATTGCGCTATCCCACATTAGCTCGCTGCCTCTGGATCTGATCGGACCTGATTTTCACGGAAGATTGTATGTTCCGAAGGTAGCCTTTTTGGCACTGGCATGACTGGCTTACACTTTGGCTCCTGGCAGCTGGCATTTCAACATCTGCTGTGTGAGCGCCGGCCGGACGTAAAGCGAATGAAGATGATCAGATCGTTCTCCAGCTGACTGGAATCGAGATATGCGCAAAGCTTTCCCTGCTGCTGTGCGATCCCTGCGCGTGTTCGCTGTACCTTGTCATCAGGCTTGCCGTTAGTTGTCAGCACAAAATTATCTCGTCACAGATTGGACAAACGAATGTCTCAAACCTCACTCACATTTGCAAACACTCTCGCAGCAGAGCAGCATCTGCCTTCAATTGTGCACCTTTGTAGACATCACAACTATGCACTCTGATTCAAACACGGGCCAAAGTGGTAGCTAGAATTGCACAATGCAATTATACTCTATCCTCTGTAATCAGTTGTTTCTCGATGATTTCATGTCCGCGTGTGTGAGAGCATTTGTACATTTGGGCCAAGTTTCCTTTTCAGGTCATCTGGCGTTCAACCATCCATGACGTTGCCAGTTTGAGCCGCAAGTTAAATTGCCCAGGGGGCTGAGGAGGGAGAAATCTGTAGCTTTCAGATCGCCCTCCATTCTTGTCTCTATTCTATCTGTTTCGTGTGTGGTTAGAAATAGACCACCGTTTGTTATTGCCCGGAATGAACCGGATGTGTACAATTTACTCAGCCGGGTTGATCCGATGACCAGGCAGCTTTGGAACTTTAAACTTTGAAGGTTCGCATCTTAACCGGCTTTGCTGCTCTACTCCGGCGAAAACAAGCGTTTTGTGTCTTCACCTCTCTTTGAGCCGCTTGCGACCGGAAGACAGCTTTAGTCCTCCTTATGTCAGCCCCGCATTTGCCGCATCAACTCTTAGCACTGTAGCATCAGAAGGATTGAGAACTTTGCGATAGCCGGGCTGCATTGATGGGTCATGTCATCTGCTCTATCTCTTCTCGGCCATGGGCGACGGACAGGCTGGGTGTTTCGGCGCGCTCTTAGGCAAAATCCGTCTCCCAAAGTCAAGACCCACTGCAGTGCAACGCACACAGCCCGAGGAAAAGCACTTCCAGCCCGAAGCGAACCAGGCATGTGTGTGATTCTGGCAGACCTTCTGTTACTGAGCAGTAGGCTGCAGTATCGCTGCCTCACGATCTGCGAACATGGATATGCTGATCCGGCAGAATGGTGGCTCGAGAGTGACCAACTTCCTGCCTATTCTTCCCAAGTCGACTTGCAGGGCGACGCGCACGCCACAGTTGACCAAAGCATCGACGAGATATCACCCCAATTGCATACACTCAGTCTTAAGATTCACGGTACGCAAGCCCGGTCGTACTCGGTGATGTCGGCACACATCGTCCCAATGCAGGTCACCCTGAGGTCGCATTCCAGGAAGAGTTGGTGCCATTGGTTTCCGTGCGCACGCATGTTGATCAGCCCCAGATTCGCGCATGAACACTTGGCTTCCTTTATGGCCTCCCAGGGCTTCGCGGTGACCCGGAGCTATCTCGGACTCAAAACCGCATTCAGAGCCGAATTCCAGCACGGTTCCGGAGGCCGAGTGATAGGTGTCAACAGTGGTTTGTCCCCACCCGCGCTGTGCCTGCTCTTAAGTCTCAAGCTGGCCTAGAATACGACGCGCTAGCGGGCATCGGTCAGTTACTTGCTGTTTCCGGCTGCCCCTCTCGACGCTTGTGCAGGACATGCGTGTGGCCACAACCTGATTGCCGTAAGCGGCTGCGCAGTCGCTATTGCGCTCAAAAAGGCATTGCAGGCTCATAACATACCGGGGAAAGTGATCCTGCTCGGTACCCCAGGTAAGCTGGCAACTTTTTTTAGCATCGTCTCGCTTCTGATGATGATGCGCCGTAGCCGAGGAGGGTGGAGGGGGGAAGATCATCCTCTTGGAGAGAGGCGGGTACGAGGAAATGGATCTTTGCGTGATGTGTCATCCGAGCGGAGGTCCTATCAAGTCGGCCAACCTGGGGTCAACGATCGGGGTGCAAGTGATCCAGGTCGAATATTTCGGGCAAAAGTAGGCTATAGCCGAGTTTTCCGTGGCTGGTGATTGAACTTCTCAGCGCGCATGCTGGTGCAGCTCCTTGGTGATTCTTGTTCGGAGGGAATCAGCCACTAGACGCTTACTTCTTCCGAAGGGACGGCGTCAACGCACTAGATGCTGCGTTTCTAGCCTACTCCAACATTTCCGCACTCCGCCAGCAAATGCGACCTGATCATCGTGTTCACGGTGTCATTACGGGAAACGACAACTGGTTGCCCAATGTGATTCCCGATTATGCCAAAATGAATTGTCTCGCTCGAGCGCCCACCGACGTGGATCTCGCAGCTTTCGTGGAGCGTGTCACCAATTGCTTGAAGTGATTGGCTGCCTCCTCATCCCTGGATTGAGTTCTGATCCCCCTCAACAGAGCAGCAGCAATGGCCACCGGCTGCGAATTCAAATTGACGCTGGCGGAGCCGTATTTGGATCTAAAACAGAACCCCATTCTCGGTAATCTCTCTTATCCTGAATCTCCACTCTGGACTGATCCCCGTAGGTCAGGAATTCGCCGACGTCGTGGCGAAACGTTACGGGATTGAGACCTCGACCACGCCAGGGACTGCTTCCACCGACTTTGTAAGTGGTCGTCGCACGATGGTGACCACGTTGTTGACTTGGATTTAGGGGAACGTAACATATGGTAATACTCTTGACTGCAAGTGATTCTGGCTCACCTCGCATGCAGCGTTGCCTGGGCTTCATCCAGGGTTTGGTCAGTCCTTCTCCTTGCTTCTGACCTCATCGCTCACTTTACCAGCCATTCCGACCCAACCTGGAGGCGGAAACCACACGATCGCATTCACAAATGCGGCTGCCACGCAAGAAGCACACACAGCCGCGATGTACATCGCCAAGGGCCTTGCATGCACGGCACTGCGTGCTCTTCGCGATGACGAGTTTTTCAAACAAGTGCGTGTAGATCTCTTTCTTCATGGCTCGATTCATGTCGCAACAGGTCAAAGCATCATTTTCCGCGTGACATGAGCATTAAGATAGTCTAGTTCACACAAACATCCCCAAGGAAAATCCATTAAATATCATTCTGCCCAGTCTTGACCTTCTCGGCTTCTGCTGCATGTTGTCGGAGCATTTGCTCCCGTTTTGCGTGTGCAGTTTTGGCTGACGACTTCCCCTTTGGTGCAGCCGCTTCTGCAACCATTCTGGGCTAGATTTCAGATATGAGAAATTCGGACGTGCCACGACGCACCTCTCAAGTTCCCGACGTTCTGCATCGGTTTCGTCGGGAGCCGTGGACTTGAAGATGGCACCGGTGATGAGAAGACCCTGCATACGGAGCCCCGTCAGAAAGAAGGAGAATCAAACACCCTCGAGGACAGACCTTGGCGCAATTCAGCAGCATCGGATCCGCTACTCCTGGATCTTTGAGTACATTATCGAGCACCTGCATCAGGAAATAAGACAACCGCGTATCAGCGCCGATGGCGATCACGAGATGATCAACGACGCTGATGCGCACACCTCAGCTACCCCCGCCATCACACTGTTTTGCCCTCGCGGGGGACCTACTGGGTATCCTCGGGCGTGGCTCTGAGTGTACCTTGTGACTTATCATGAGGAGCGCACAGATGAGCGGGAAAAGAATTGAATCACATGATGCACCAAATGGGCGGGATGGTGGGATAAAAAATCATGTGATGCACTGCATGGAAATTCACCCCAGTAGGGCTGCTCAATTCTATTACTAACATTGTCCATCCAGCCATCAGTACTTAGCAAGCTCTAGCAAGGGTAATCAATTGATACAATTTTGAAATCCCCCCTGATGGAGATCGTTGCACAAATGCATGGCCATCAACGTCAGACTTAGAAAACTGGCCCTCCCTCATATCTTTCCTTGTGGGCAACAGGGCTTTTAGCTTCAAATTTGATGGTGAGTTCAACTAAGCATTCACTCTGTACATGGCATTGTTCTGGCACAGAGTCACCAGAGCTCCTCTGACTGTTTCCATAGCTTGCTTGCTTGACTTCTGCATGTCATAATTTGACCACTTTTTCATCATTGCATCAACAATCTTATCTAATCTTGACATCGGGTTATCTTATCACAGATCACAGCATTACACAATCTGGGTTAGGGGTTCAGAGGGGTTATATGTACAGAGGCTGCACAACATGTGCTCCAGAAGGTTCTACTACAACCCATGACCAATGCTCCACATGGTACATAGCCTCATGACTTGTTTGATGTAGATATGACTCATACTGGGACTGGTATAAATACTGTAGCTATTGTCATGTATTCCCCAGTCTTGGAATTCACTCTTCTTATTGACTTTGTTTTGGGTTGATTGTCACACTGCACAGCACAATGCCATGGCATTTATGCCAGGAGGTGGATACTCCTTCAAAGCTAGCTGTCTACGAACTGACCCCTTCCAAGGGTACTAAAAACTATGCACCACCACTAAACCTTAATGGCAAGTCCTGTTCTCTGCACTGGAATGACAGGACGTCAACGGTGCCATTTTTGGATGCTCTGCGCCCCTAGCGGTGTGGCTCTACCATTGCTTGTTCCCTGTCACCTGGCCCTGCGCCCTTCTTTAAGATGACAGATGAGGAGATGGTCACATACTTGAAGGCAGTTGAAGATGTGGTGACAGCTTGGGAGTATCAAGTAGTGGAGCACAGGGGCATGCACAGTGGGACTCTCTTTTCTAGTCCAAATCACTTCTACTCTGGACCTGCTGTTGTCACTCCTCCACCTCTGCCAACTCCTTCCATTAGAAATCATGGCTACACTTGTCCTGTCCCTTGTCTACATCTGTGGTTGCCACTCAAAGAAACAAGCAGGAATGCAAAGATCCCGCAACCTTCAGCTTTGGAAAAGCCAAAGTATGCAAGTGCAATGCATTGCAGCGATGCACATCTGTTCTTCTCTTATGACAAAGTTGAAACTCTATCTCTGCCTCTGATTGAGCCATCAATACTAAATCCTATTGACCCCTAACCGTTGCAGGTCACATGTCCTTGACATCAGTGATATGGCATGATTAGAGGCTATTTCCGACCCCTACATCATAGTTTTGAGGACTTGGAATAAATTTTGTGGGTGTACAAGATGCTTGATAGGGGAGATAAGATATCAGCAAGGTAAGATATAACTAATGATTGATCAGTTTATGTAGATAGCACCAATTGTGGTATCCCTATAGCATCTCTCTGCCTTATTTCAATTCTTTGCCTAAATGGTTTGTTGTACTAGACCCGTTTGCATGTGATTGCAATAATCAGCAACTATATGACTGACTGAACAACAATCAGTTAGCACATGGCGAGTGCATCTCAAAAAAATCTGCACTATCCTCCTTTTCCTCCTTGTTCTCCTTGTTGCTGTCCAACCCCTCCTGACCCTCCCTTCTTGCTAGCCCGGATTGTATCTTTCTTGCAACAGTGCTAACAGCAAGAATTGAGTGCAGGAGGTCTGAAACTGCACAGTCCAGTGCTTAGAGGTTTGCTCAAGTTCTCAACAACACTTTGTACAGTTCTTGCTTGCATTGTGACACGTCAAACATGTGAATATGAGGGAAGATAGAGCATGACATGTGACAATCAACCCAAAAACAAAGTCGAAAAGAGAAGTGAATTCGAAGACTGGAGAATACAACCAAATAGCTACAGTATTTATACCCAAATCCAGTCTGAGTCATATCTACAACTAATGAGTCATAGGGCTATGTACCGCATGGAGCACTGGTCATGGGTTGTAGTAGAACCTTCCGGAGCATATGTCGCGCAGCCTCGAATCGATAGAGATAACCCCTGGAACCCCTAGCCCGGACCGTCTGATGCTGTGATCCGTGATAAGATAAGTCGTGCCAAGATAAGATAAGATTGCCGATGATAAGATGAAAAAGAGTCGAATTATGACATTACCCCCTCTCTAGGGTCGATGTCCTCATCGACTAGGCCGATGGGCGTGAAGACGTTTTCGTAGGGATCGAAGAGTTGTCGCTGGGGATATGGAAGGCGCTCGTCTTTGGGTTTGTAGCGATGGATGAGATAATCCCAATGTCCGGCTTCGAGAGTTGGCAGGAGGCGAATGCGTGTGTCTGGGTTGGATTGTTTCCTCTGCCAATCTCTCAGGACCTTCTTCGCGTGGGTAAGGTGACGTGATGGTTCCCAGGTGTTCTCGCTGTGCGGCCATCCCTTCCATTTGACCAAGTACTGTTTTCCTCGGCCGACGTTTCGCTCTTTCACGATTTCTTCGACTTCCCACTCTTCTGCTCCTCCGATCATCTTGGCTACAGGCCTCTTCTCTCGGCGATGGGGGGGTGGTTCGTGATAGGGTGTCAACAGTGACTCATTGAACACCGGATGTCTTCGGTCCGTGTCCGGCAAATCCAGCTTCCATGCAGCCGCTCCAACCTTCTCCAGTATCTCGTATGGTCCCAATCTCTTGTCGCTCATCTTCTTTGATGGTCGATCCGTCTCAATATTTTCCCCTTCTATGTACACCTTCATCCCAACCTTCAACTCCGGAACTTCTTTTCTTTGTTTATCGTAGTATTTTTTCATTTTTTCTTTTGCTTTTTCTAGTGCTGCTTTTGCTTCGTCTTGTATTTCTTTGATTCTTTTCACAAATTCCTCCGCCGACTCGTTTCTCGACTCCATCCGTTGCTCCACTCCCTTCCACGGGTGATATCCGTGATTCGCATAGAATGGCGATACTTTGGTGGACGTGTTCATCTTGTCGTTATATGCGAACTCCGCCATTCCCAGCCACTCCAACCAGTCCGTTTGATGGTAATTGACGTAGATGCGGAGATAATGCTCGATCTCCTGATTCATGCGTTCTGTCTGTCCATCCGTGATCGGGTGATATGCGGTCCCCGGGTTCATTTCCACGCCCAACATCCGATTCGTCTCCCTCATGAAGCCCTTGATGTAACGCGAATCCCTGTCGGTGATGATCTTGCGAGGGATCCCGTGGTAGCGGAAGACTCGGTCCCTGGTTAATCGTGCCACTCCTTCGCTGCTGATGTCAGTACTGATTGGTTCGACATGGATCATTTTGGTGAAGGTGTCACACCACACATGAATTGCGTCATACCCGTTACTGACCGGCAAGGGTCCGATCTGATCCATGGAGATGATTTCCCACGGCGCGTTTGGAACTGCATGCGGGTGCAAACTCCCTGTCCTGGCTCTTCTGGTCTTGGTCCGCTGGCACGCTTCGCACGTCTGGATGTATTTCCGAATTTGGTTTCCCATCCTTGGCCACCAGTAGTTCCTCTCCACCATCTCCTGCGTTCGGTTGGTCCCAGCGTGTCCGACCAAAGGGGTGTCGTGGTGTAGTCCGATGATCTTGTCCCGCAACTCCTCATCCCTTGGTACATAGAGCTTCCCATGATACGTGATGAGCCCATCTTCCTTCTTCCATCCGACGAGTGACTTCTCCAAGGCCGCCTTGACGCTTCCATCAACTGATCGAATGGCCTTGATTTCATCGATTAGCTGCTGATCCTGTCCCTCGAATGTGACTTCTTGTGATCGGAAAAACTCGGGCTTTAGTAGCGTGACGTCCTTGTTGTCGTTCTTGCCCTGATCGTGATCTGCTCGTCGAGATAAGAGATCCGCTTTGCGGTTGAGTGCGCCGGGCCGGTGTCGTAGGGTGAAATCGAACTCCGCCAACTCCGTGATCCATCGTGCTTGCCGTCGATTGAGCTTCTGCGGCTTCCGGAAGTACTCGAGATTCTGATGGTCGGTGAAGATCTCGAACGTTTCCGTGGCTCCCAGGAGTAACTGCCTCCATTCGTCAAGCGATAACATGATTGCGAGCATTTCCTTGTCGTAGATCTCGTAATTTCGCTCGGTTTCGGTCAGTGCGTGCGAAATAAATGCGATTGGGCGCCAAATGCCGTCTTGGTTTTGGCTCAAAACTGATCCCGTTGCCCCTTCCGAAGCATCGGCTTCCAGACGATATTGGCCAGTGTCATTTGGCAGTGCTAGGACCGCATCCTCCGCGATTCTCTTCTTCAATCCATCAAATGCCGCATGCTCATCTGCACCCCATGACCATCCTGCCTTCCCTGTCAGCCGTGTCAATGGCTTGGCAACCTCCGCGTATCCCCGGACAAAGCGCCGATAGAAGTTTGTGAATCCGAGGAAGGCTTGGATCTGTTTGACACTCTTTGGTTCGGGCCATTCCATCACGCCCTTGATCTTGACTGGGTCCATCCGCATCGAATTATGTCCAATAATTACACCCAAATATTCGATTTCCGTGCGTTCGAACTCGCACTTTTCGGGCTTCAGGTATAGCTTGTGTTTCTGGAGCAATTCGAGCACTCGTTTCGTGATCCGCCGATGTTCGTTCAAGTTTTCTGTGAAGATCAGTATATCGTCCAGATAGACTACCACGTGACCCTCGTTGATCAACTCTCGGAGTATGTCGTTCATCATGTTTTGGAATGTTGCCGGGGAATTTGTGAGACCAAAGAACATGACCAAGGGCTCGTACAGCCCTCGGTTCGTGCGGAATGCAGCCTTCCACTCGTCACCCTCTTTGATCCGTACATTGTTATATCCCCACCGGATGTCAAGTTTTGTAAAGAACTTGGCGCCACATAGATTATGGACTAGTTCGGATATCAGCGGCAACGGGTATCGATTCCGAATCGTCATCTCATTCAGCTTCCGATAGTCTTGGACGGGGCGTAGGGAGCCATCCTTCTTCTTGACAAAGAAGAATGCTGATGCCATCGGTGATTTTGATGGCCTGATCCGTCCACTGGCCAAGTTCTCTTGCAGGAATTCGTCGAGTTTGACTTGTTCATTGCGTGATAACGGGTACACCTTGCAGTCCACTGCCTTGGAACCAGGTTTGAGCTCAATTGCGTGATCCCATGCCCGTCGGTCTGGTAGCGAGTCAAACGATTCCTTGGCGAATACTTTGACAAATTCCCAATATTGATCCGGAATCTTCCCCTCGGTCATCCTCTCCTTCTCTTTCTCCGCTTCTTCTGCGAATTTCTGTGCCGGCGTTTCCTTCAGCCGCAGGTCTACTTCCTTCCCAAAATCGATCAACAAGATCGATTCTCCCTCTTCCAGATCCGGTGTGCCCATGTTCAGGTCAATTGCGTCCATGTCAATCATCGCTTGATGTTCCTCGTGACCCCTCATGTGACACCGCTCTGGGCACCGGCTGAACCTCATGGTCTGCTCCTGCCAATCCACCTCGGGGTTGTGTTCCATCAGCCAATCGAGACCGATGAAGATCCGGGCTTTCCCCAAGCACGTCAGAAGGAACGTGCGTGTTTCCACATGAGGACCGATTCTCATCCTCAGATCGACGTAGTGCGTGATCCGACCGCTGATGTTCTCGGTGTTGTCGGCGTTACGAGCCACAATGGGTTGTGGGAGCTCTTGAATATCCAACTTCTCCGCCCGTGCGTAGTCGGTATCGATGCAACAGGTACTGCAGCCGCTATCGAGCAGCGCCTTGACTCCGCGCGTTTTCCCTGAGTCCAGACCCGTGATCTGGACATATACGTCCATCGAATGTCTCTTCCTTTCGGCCTGGTAGTCGCGCAATTCCTGCACCAGTCTGCCGGGCTGCGGGCCCTTCTGTTTCTCGGCCGCCAATTTCCTCTGGACGGCATCTGGCACCCTGGTGCGTTTGGGTGCTTCTGGAACCTTGATTTCGGCAGATTCCTTAGGCGCTTCCTCCTTTTTCAAGGATTGAGCCTCCGGAGCAATGCTCCCCTTTTCGGTCTTTGTTGACGTGGTTCCTTCTCCACGAGCCATAAATATGTATGAATCCAAAATTAATTTATCTGCAGCTTTCTGATCCTTTTTACTTTGTAAATACTCTCTATTTAAAGCTATTTTTCTTTGGCGTTCTTTTTCCATATCAGCAATGAGAAAATCGTGAATATTCGTACGTAGTGAGTCCGAGATTGTATATGTATGTGTAGAATCGTTCATGTCTTTAATTGAAACAAGTACAGAAAAACGTCCATAGTCCGGACGCTCCACCTCCTTGGCTAGAGGAGTGGAGCGTTTCAAAAACCCTTCTCGCGCAGCTTCTCGGCAATCTCCTTGAGGAACTCGTTGTCCTTGTCCCCGTTCTCGATCTCTTCAAGCATCGTGGCCCGATTGAAGAATGTGCGCTTCTTTCTTGGTTCCGGGCAGTTCCGCGCAATGTGCCCCGGCTGCTGACAGTTGTAGCAGATGATATTGCGGCCGTGGGCATGGGTACGATCGATTTCCATCGGAACCGGTTCGTTGGCAGCGGGTCGGGCCGGAGCGGGTGCGGGCGCCACTGGTGCCGCTTGGGGACGGAACTGGGGAGGTGGTCGTTGTGTGGGGTGCCCATACGACGCTTTGCGCAGCTGGTCACGCAGAGCATTGGCTTCGATGTTGATGCACCAGGCTTTGAACGCTCCATAGGCCTTGGGCAGAGGGACACCGGTGTTGTAGAGACGGCTGGCGATCTCGCTGCTGAGTCCGCGCTCCAGGAACTCGATGAGGATATTATCCTGGTCCCCCTTCTTGTATTCGCCTTTGTCGTCGGTGGTGTCGACCACATTGTAGCCTGCATCCGCGGCCAACATCTCAAAGTCGGAGATGTAGTCCGCGAAGGATCGTTTGTTTTGGCGCAGGGCCATAAGCCGAGCAGCGGCGACTTGTTCCGCATTGGAGTCCCCGAACGCCCTCTGAAGCTCCTCCAGGAAGTTCTTTGATGTGACTCCTGCCTTCAGTCCCTGGAAGCCCTCGAAGTTGTGCTGCTTCCAGTTCATCGCCCATCTCGAGGCAGCGCAGCTCGTGCCGTTCTCGTTACGGAGGTAGGAGAGAACAAAGAGGATTTTGGTCTCATCCTGCGAGAACTCCGATCGATAGGCACCGATGTAAGTGGTGCACGCGTCCACAAAGCCCAGGTATTTGGACTTGTCGCCATCGAAGTAGGGGGGATTGGCGGCGAGGGTGATGCGGTGATGCCCTGACATGGTAGGGGCAGGCGTGTGAGGTGGGGGCGAGGGTGGTTGTTCGGAGGGCAGTTCGTCGAGGTCGGGGATCTCGTCTTCAGGCGGTGGGAGGGCGAGGTAGGGGTTGGAGGGCCCGGGTTGGTTTTGATGCGCCAGATCGGGCGACGATGGTACGATGGGGGGAGGGGACGGACTCCCAGACGACGATGGGAATCGGTACGAAATGGTGGAATCGTGTGCTGTACAAGCACTCGAGGGAGGGTTCTTTTGCTAGCAAAAAGATCCCGGGCCTAACTCTTCACGTGCCCGATGATCCCGAGGTGCGTTTTCCCGAAGGTCTCCGCAGCACTCCTTGTAGCTACCGTAAGGCTTGGGTCGGGCTCAACGTTACCCGTGGCCTGGTGCTGTTTGCTTGATATGAACCCTTCACTGCGATAGTGGAGGACGACTAGATGATTCGGTAAAAGGGTGAGTGGGGTGATAAGGGTTTAAGAGGATATAGCGGGCGTAGCGGTGCGGGATGCAGGGTAAGAGGTATGAGGTAGGAGGGTATGAGGGGAGTCTTCGAATTATGTGACAATCAACCCAAAAACAAAGTCGAAAAGAGAAGTGAATTCGAAGACTGGAGAATACAACCAAATAGCTACAGTATTTATACCCAAATCCAGTCTGAGTCATATCTACAACTAATGAGTCATAGGGCTATGTACCGCATGGAGCACTGGTCATGGGTTGTAGTAGAACCTTCCGGAGCATATGTCGCGCAGCCTCGAATCGATAGAGATAACCCCTGGAACCCCTAGCCCGGACCGTCTGATGCTGTGATCCGTGATAAGATAAGTCGTGCCAAGATAAGATAAGATCGCCGATGATAAGATGAAAAAGAGTCGAATTATGACATGACAAGGAGATCAAGTGCTGATACTACTTCCCACATGCTATCTATCAAGATGCTTTTATTGTGCCTATGATCTCTAATTGATCTTAGCTCACCTGTTGGGCATTTTGTACACCCACAAAATTTATTCCAAGTCCTCAAAACTATGATGTAGGGGTCAGAAATAGCTGCTAATCACACTATATCACTGATGTCAAGGATATGTGATCTGTGACAGTTGGGGGTCAATAGGATTTAGTAGCTGTCAATGGCTCAGCTGCATGCTCAAAGGTCTAGGAAGAGGGCAGCCAAGGCTGAGCCCTGTGGTGCCATAGATGTTGGGTTCTCAAAGGCTTGTTGGACCAATGCTGATCAGGATGTATTCTTCACATATATACTGGGCTACATGGATGACAGCAAAAAGTGTTTTGACAGGCTGAAGAAAGCTCTGGATTTTGTTTTTACACAGGTCTGCCCAGTAACTGCTCGACTAAGATTAACACTTAATGGGTGATGTTTAGGCTGCTAACCAGCTACAATCAAAGCTTTCCACAATCTGCAAAGCCAGCTCTTTGTAAAGGCAACCTTGGGGCCCAATCTCAGAGTCCTGACAATGTAAGGGCAACTCCTGCCAGCCCGAAGAAAGAGAGCACACAGTACACAACAACCTCACATGAGTCTGAGCACAGAGGGGGATCCTTAGAGACTATCAAATACAAGGGAGGTATACTACTCACCTGAGCATAGAGGGAGATTCTTAGAGAACGGTTCAAGAATCCATGTGCCCAGGTGTCACACTATATAGTCAGCTGTGACAAGTGACTGATGATGATGGGATATCACTGCCATGGAACAATGGCAGATGACAAGTAGATAATGACAAACCCAGATAAGATAGTGAGTGGCTCAGAGGCGCCAGTGATGGCCAGCTCCTGAGGCACCAACAGTGGAAGGCCACACTGGAGAAGCCCAGTGGCCAGGCTAGTGCTGGGCCAGCCAGTTGTCAGGGGACGCCCCGCTCCTTGGGCATGTGACCATACACGTGACCCACTGTGCCCTCTCTGCCGACCCATGCCTGCTCACCTGTTGATCACCCAGCCTCCTCCTCCTTCTCCGATCCTCATCTCCATCCGTGCCAACACCTGCCCTCTCCCTCCTTCTCCTGGCCATCTCCTTCAAATCCCTGCAAGCGGTCTAGCCAAGCCCGATTCCTTGCACCAGGGAGTGCTACTGCTGTACGCACTCCTCCCCCCCTACTTTGGCCTTCTTCCCGCGGATGTGGTCTACTGCCGTACAGGCTCGTACCAGATGCCCTTGCGCTCATCCGCACCACCCCTCTTCCTAGTCGGGCATTGGTCCTCGCCTCCGATGTCTCCACTGGCCAGCCCGGCACTGGCCTGGCCATTGGGCTCCTCCAGTATAGCCTTCCACTGTTAGTGCCTCAGGAGCTGGCTATCACTGGCGCCTCTGAGCCACTCACTATCTTATCTGGGTTTGTCATCATCTACTTGTCATCTGCCATTGTTCCATGGCAGTGATATCCCATCATCATCAGTCACTTGTCACAGCTGACTATATAGTGTGACACCTGGGCACATGGATCCTTGAACCGTTCTCTAAGAATCTCCCTCTGTGCTCAGGTGAGTAGTATACCTCCCTTGTATTTGATAGTCTCTAAGGATCCCCCTCTGTGCTCAGACTCATGTGAGGTTGTTGTGTGCTGTGTGCTCTCTTCCTTTGGGCTGGCAGGAGTTGCCCTTACAATTGGTCTAGGAAACAAGAAGATCTATGCTATGCATAGATATACTTGTAGACGGCATCCATAATGGTCCCTCAGGATCCAAGTTCATATTTCAGCCAAGAAAACAGTATATTCATGATCTAGTAACGTGTATAGCCTCTATTAGCATCCAATACAGCTGTGACACGGTCCTTCATTGTGGCTGTGTACTTTTCAATATCCAAAATGGGCATATTTTCCCACTCTTCCAAAATGGCCGTTTTGAGTGTTTTGAACAATGTCGGCAGAGGATTGCATGCTCGAACGTGCTTCTTCAGCTTTTGCCAGATGGGTTCTATGGGGCTGACATTGGGAGAGGTGGGTGGATGGTCAAAAACGCGCACGCAATGCTTCTTGAGCCATGCACAGGTTGACTTGGCAGTGTGACATGATGCACCGTCTTGCTGGAACCAAATTTGATCGCACCCGCCTCACATCTGCTTTACCAAGTCCAAGGCCTCAAAGGGGACAGTCTCCAGGATCTGCTTCTGATAGTGGTTGGCTGTCATCCCACCCTTCTGGCCACTTGGATATTCCAAAACCACCAGCGGGCCCTTCCACCCATGTGCAATGCATCCCCAAACCATGACACATACCAAGGACTGCTTGAAGGCTGGAACCAGGTATTCCTCAATGTCAGCCTCCTCTGAGGCGCGTGTGACAAAAATCCAGCCCTGTGTAAGGGCAACCTCGAGGCCCGATATCAGAGTCCTGGCAAGGGAGAATCCAAAGTGAATAATAGTGGTGGCTAGGTACAAGACCGGCATACCTGGCAAGGGAGAATCCAAATAGAAACTGTGTTGGGGATTCTCCTTGCCAGGCGCCACTATTTATATGATACAAGAACAATAGAGCGCGCAGCAACAAACAAAGAACAATGGGAACAATAAGTACAATGGCTGTTTGGAGAACAATAGGAAACCGAGACAGTGGGAACAATGGGACACCTGACCATGTGCCCATCAAAGAGAAGCGCTTGGCACGGCAGTCCGGGCCGTGGTACGTGACAGCTGACAGGTCATGCGAGCGCGATCACATGCCAGATCCCAAGCTGATCGATCAGAAGAGAGGGTTCCCCTGACATCACCCCCCCCCTTGGATTGCGGCGCCTCGACGCAACGTGCGGATGGTGGCAGAGGGGTGCTGGAAACGGAGGGAGTCGAAGACGGCAGCGGCGATGACACATGGTTTGCCAGGGTTCTTGCGGTAGAATTCCGCTACAGTGTCCTCTGCAAAGATATCAGAGTGCTTGACCCACTGGTCGTGGGATAGATCGTAGCCTTTCCACCGCACAAAGAACCAAATGCTGCGGTAGCGTATCTTGGCATCCAGTATCTCTTCGACTTCCCACTCCTTGCCAGGTCCTTGGCCCATGACCGGTGGCGGCTCTTCATGGCAGGGGCGCGTGGGGAACGGGTCGTCCTCAGCAAGCTGCAGTTTGACGACGGGGAAGACCGGGTGGAGGCGAGAGAGGCCGCGAGAGAGATCCAGCTTATAGGCGCCACGTCCGACGGCCTGAGTGACTTTGAAGGGTCCCAGGCGTCGATGAGAGAGTTTGAGGGACGGGCGCGTCGTCTGGATGTCAGACACGTCAAGCCAAACTCGATCTCCGACCTTGATGTCCGGAGCTGGGGTCCTCTGCCGGTCGTAGTACTGCTTGTACTCCTCCTTTGCCTTTACCAGTGCAGACTTTGCTTCTGCCACACCCGAAGCAATCCGGTCGCGGAACTCGTTCGCCGATTCATCCACGTCTGAGCACAGCCCGTTTGGCTCAAATCCCATGCGAGGGAGCCGACCAGTGTCTGTCATGAACAGGACTTGCTGCGTCGAGGAGTGGACGTGGTTGTTGTAGGCAAACTCCGCAGCTGGAAGCAGCTCGTCCCAGTCATCCTGGCCGTAGCTGGTGAAGATGCAAAGGAACTGCTCGAGCTCCTGGTTCACACGCTCGGTCTGCCCGTCAGTCTGCGGATGATAAGCAGTGGACATTGCTGGTGAGACACCAACCAGCTTCCACAGCTCCTGAGTGAAGTCCGCTATAAACTGGGAGCCCCGGTCAGAGACATACTTAGAAGGCAGCCCATGGTGGCGCCAGACGTTCTTGTAGAAAAGCCTGGCGGCACCTTCACCGGAGAGCCGGGTGTGGCACTCTGTAAAGTGGCTGCGCTTCCCAAGCATGTCAACAACGACCATGATAGCATCATACCCATGAGCGTCTGGCAGATGCACAATGAAGTCAACCGACACCGCTTCCCAGCGCTCCGAAGGGACCTCCGTGGGATGGAGTTCCCCGATTGGGAGTTGGCAAAGCGCCTTGGTTTGGCAGCACAGTTTGCAGGTGGCCACATACCGGCCGACGTGTCGAGACAACTGGGGCCACCAGTAGTTCTGGGAGACGAGCTCCAACGTCTTGAAGCGGCCGGCGTGTCCTGCGACGCAAGTGTCGTGGTGCTGCTCGAGGATGCGTCGGCGGAGGTCGTTGTTGCGTGGAACCACCAGCTTGCTATGGAAGTAGAGCAGGCCGCCCTCATTTCGCCACTCCACAGCCCGAGCAGAGCAAACTCCGCGTTCCTTGAGGAGCTCACGTGCTGCCAACATGATGGGCTCCTCCAAGTTGGGGGTACCGGCGAGGGCCTCCCGGATGTTACGCAGGAGAGGGGCCTCAGGTCCGGAGACTGTGAGACCGTCGAGGGCCCAGACATGGAAGAGCGCGGGGCGCAGCAGTGTGACGTCTGCGTTGTCCGAGGCAACTCCATGGTCGGGGCGGCGCAAGAGAGCATCCGGGCGGCCCATGAGGCGGCCAGGTTGGTGATGCAGGGTGAGGTCGAAGCGGGACAGATAGAGGGACCAGCGGGCCTGACAACGGTTGAGGTTCTGGGCCTTCTGGAAGTACTCCAGGTTTTTGTGGTCAGTCCAGATCTCAACGGGGTGCTCGGCGCCCTCGAGGAAGTGTCGCTACTCCTCCAAGGCGCAGACAATGGCGAGCATCTCCTTGTCGTGGATTTCGTAGTTCCGCTGGACCTTGTTAAGACTTTTCGAGAAGAAGGCAACTGGATGCCACTTGTCGTCTACGGGGGATTGCTGCGAGATGACGGCACTGGTCGCAAAGTCCGAACTGTCTGCTTCGAGGCGGTAAGACCTGGAAGCATCTGGGAGCTGCAGGACTGGGGTAGAGGTAACAGCGTTCTTCAGCGCAAGAAACGCGGCTGCCTTGTTGGCGCCCCAAGTCCATGCCATGTCCTTCTTGGTGAGGTCAAAGAGAGGACAGGCAACGTGCGAAAAATCCTGGATGAACCTCTGGTAGAAGTTAGTGAAGCCGAGGAACTGCTGCACTTCCTTCTTGTTAGCCGGAGCTGGCCACTCCGCCACACCTGCGACCTTGACCGGGTCCATCTCCACATGGTTGTGGGAAATGATCACCCCAAGGTATTCGATCGACGGCATCTCAAACTTGCATTTCTCCGCACGAAGGTAGAGCTTGTTCTCGCGGAAACGTCAGAGGACTTCGTTCACGATTTCCCGGTGACGGTGGATATTGGAATGTGCGATGAGAATGTTGTCGAGGTACACCATAACGTCGCCAGGAAGGATGAGGTCCTGAAGTATGTCATTCATCATTGTCTGGAACATTGCGGGGGAATTGGTCAGGCCGAAATACATCACCAACGGCTCAAAGAGCCCACAGTTTGTCCGAAACGCTGCCTTCCACTCGTCGCCTTGACAAATGCGCACGTTGTTGAAGCCCCAGCGAACGTCGAGTTTGGTGAAGAACCGAGCTCCCTTGAGCTTGTTGATGAGGTCGTTGATCAAAGGAAGCGGGTAGCGGTTCTTCACTGTCATCGCGTTCAGTGCTCGGTAATCTTGGACAAACCGTAAGCTGCCATCCTTCTTCTTTACAAAAAAGACGGGGGATGCCATGGGTGATTTTGACGGCCGAATCCTGCCAGTGGCCAAACCCTCCTCGATGAAGTCGTCGAGCTGCTTCTGTTCAAGAGGAGAGATCGGGTAGACCTTGCAGTTGGTTGGCTTTGCGTCGGGAACCAGTTTGATGGCGTGATCCCAGGGGCGTCGCTCTGGCAGGTTGTCGAAGGACTCCTTGCTGAAAACATCCTCGAATTCTCGTGCCCACTTGGGGATGGAGTCCCGGGGAGGCGCGGAGTTCTTGGCAAACACCTCGGCAAGTCGCTGAGAGACGGTGCTAGTGGCTCGGATGCTTTCAGAAGGGGTGAAGCGGGTGTAAAAGATACGGTCACCGGCTTCCAAGGAGTCGTCGTCATCAGCGTCATCTTCATCCCAGTCAGGCTCAAGCTCGGGCATCTCTTCGTCCTCATGGTCCTCGACGTCGACAGCGCAGATTGATGGGGCTGGGCCTTGGCGGATGGTTCGGAGTACCCGGGCCGCGGTTCTGGCAGATCGACGTTCTTCGCAAAGTTCCTCCCGGCAGGTGGAGCAACCGGAAGGGCAACGGCTCATCTTTACCTCCTGAGTATCCCAGTTGATCTCTGGGTTGTGCTTCCGAAGCCAGGAGTACCCTAGAATGAGCCGTTGCTTGCCTAAACGGGTGACAGCAAGCTGGACGCATTCACTGTGGCCTTGGTAACGGAGAACCACATCATCAACTTCGCGAATGGAAACGGCCTTGTTCGGCGTGCCATCCACGTTGTAGACCGGGATTGGCTGAGTAAGGCATCGAACGGGGATGTGACTGGCGAGGACGTAGTCTGAGTCGATGAAGTCAGAGGTAGCACCACAATCGACCAGACCGTCTAGAGATAGCTTCACTGCGTTGTCGGTGGACTCGATCTCCAGCGGGAGGTGAAGGGAGTTAGGGCCGGGGGAAGCCACAGCAACATAGCAGGAAGGGAGCTTGCATTCCCACTTCTCCTTACGGACTCGTGGGATCGGAGAGGGAGCAGGGTGTATGTCTATCGCTTCAACTGTTGCAGAGTGGAGGGAATTGGATTCATCATACAGACAGGAGAAACGATTACGTGAAGCGAACGAGGGCATACTACTCACTCGTCGCTGGGGAGAAAACCCTGCTCCACTTCAGCCGCGACATCGGCCACGTGTTCTGCGACAGCTGCAGTAGTCGCTACTCGAGCGACCAACTCGGAGAGCAACTCACTTCCCAGCTGATTGATGACCTCGTCAAGGACATCAGCGTGACGGATGTCAGCTGGGGTGGGGCAGTCATGGGCAAGATGACCCGGACTGCTGCAGCGGAAGCAGGTGCGTCGAATGTCACCACGGAGCCGGGCCCGGTCTACCTCCATGGGAATTGGATGGGCGACAGGGGCGGGTGCCGGGCGGGCAGCGAGGGCCGGTGCTACAGCAGGGAGCACCGGGGCACGAGGACGGGGGGCAACAGCAGGCGCTCGGGGAGGAGGCGCTGCGTGGCCTCGAGAAGCTCTGGCAGCGAGTTCCGCATTGTACTGCCGGAACGCACGGACACGCCATTCGGCGTAGTCGGTGAGGCTGGGAGGGTTACCAGAGGTGGTGATGGCTTGGTTGATCCTCGGGTCCAAGCCCATCCTATATTTGGTCACCTTGACCAAGTTGTCGGTATAACCAGCGAGGTCAAGGAGGTCGTCGTACTCGTCCGTGTACTTGAATACGTCGCGGGAGCCCATATAATACTGATGGGTTTCCAATCGCGCCAAGGCGTGGTCTTGCTCGTTCTCCTCGACGAATCGGAGCTTGAACTCGGTGACGAACAGAGCCCAAGTGGGGAACGGGAACGGGGTGCGCTCGGACATGCGCTCGGACCAGGAGGCCGCCGAGTCCTTGGACATGTAGGAGAGGGCAAAGCGGACTACCTTCTCCTCAGCAACCACCCCATTCACGAAGAACGCCTCGGGGAGCAGTCGCCAGTACTGCTTCACCGAGTGCAAGAAGCTCTTGCCCAAGGTGCAATCCCCATCAAACAAGAAAGGGGGGTTGGGACGGATGAGGGGGCGTGCAGTGTTTGACTGCGAGCCGGCAGAAACACCTGGACCCACTGCCGGAGCTGGTGCAGGGGCAGGGGCAGGGGGTTGTGGTTGGTTGAGGAGCCGATTGAGTACGGCTTTGATGTTCTGGATGCTGGTCTCCAGAGCAGACAGTCAATGCTGGGAGTTGTCGTCCTCCATGCTGGTCGAGTGTGCTTGTGGAGGGGAGGAGGGGGCAAGAAAAGAGGTGACGGATTGGCGGTCTTGGTTGCTCGTTGACTCGTCTCCGCTGTTACTATCGGCGTCAAACCTCGCAATCTTGACCAGTTATCCCTAGGAACACGGTTTCTGCTGTAAGGGCAACCTCGAGACCCGATCTCAGAGTTCTGGCAAGGGGGAATCCAAAGATGTTAATAGTGCTAGCTAGGTACAAGACTGGCATACCTGGCAAGGGGGAATCCAAAGAGAAACCGTGTTGGGGATTCTCCTTGCCAGGCGCCACTATTTATATAATACAAGAACAATAGAGCGCGCAGCAACAAACAAGGAACAATGGGAACAATAAGTACAACGGCCATGACAGAACAATGGGATGCGGAGACAATAGGAACAATGGGCACCTGACCATGTGCCCATCAGAGAGAAGCGCTTGGCGCGGCAGTCTGGGCCGTGGTACGTGACAGCTGACAGGTCACGCAAGCACAATCACATGCCCGATTGAAGGCAGAGCGGTCTGAAGCAGGGGTTCCCCTGACACTTGGTCATCCATTGTTCCGTAGGCTATATATAGTGGGCCCTGACAAGGAGAGTCCCCAACTCGGTTTCTCTTTGGACCCTCCCTTGTCAGGTTTGCCAGTCTCCTGTATTAGTCGATCCCTTTATCTGACGCTTTGGACTCTCCCTTGTCAGGACTCTGAGATTGGGCCTTGAGGTTGCCCTTACAGCAGAAACTGAGTTCCTAGGGATTACTGGACAAGCTTGTGAAGACCGCCAATAGCGTCATCCGCCTCTCACTTCCAATCTTGTCCCCTCCTCCCCCTCTACAATCATCATGTCCTACATGGAAGGAGAAGACAATGGCTCCTCCCCCGAGCAGCAACTTGGTAATCTGGAGGAAGCCATGCAACAAATGGAGGGACTCCTCCACAACCTCATAATTGCATAGCAACAGCCCTTCCCTGCCCCTGCCCCTGCTCCGTCTCCGGCAGTGGGTCCAGGTGTATCTGCTGGCCAACAGGCCAGCTCGAGACCCCTCATCTGCCCCAACCCCCCATTTGCGTTCGACAGGGATCGCACCCAGGACAAGACGTTTCTCCATTCCGTCAAGCAGTACTGGCGCCTCCTCCCTGAGGCCTTCCATGTGAACGGGGTGGTACGCTTTGCCCTCTCCTATGGTGCCAGGCGCTTAGTCACTGCCTATTTTGTACAAGCAGCCAAATCAATCCGGAGTCGGAATTTTTTTTTGAATACCGGATTCATAACCATCTTTACCTACTGTGCTTCTTCCTCTTCAAATACGCTACATATGGCATGAAAAAAGAAGAATTGACAGGGCCAGCTGGACGCCGCGGCAAATGCCCGCGCAGGGAGAGCAAGGCAGAGAGGCACACCATCAGGGATGAGCACCAAGGATGCTCAATTTTGGGTGCAACAATTTGGTTCAAAGAAGTACAAGTCGCACCGTCGCGTTCCAGAGACAGTAGCTAGGACATTTGACACGTAAATACGATTCTTGCGCTCAATACCCTTCCAAATGAGGAAGGTGGGCAAATCAGGAAATGTGAGAATTTATTTCTTGGCCCCAAGGGACTTTTAGCAAATTCTGTCTTGGGAGATTGTACTTAGAGGACATTGAACTGAGTACTTTTACAAGAGGAATAAGAAATCCAGTCACACTGTCACACACCGAATCGGTTGTACAAAAGAGGTGGTGACTAAGCGCCTGGCACCATACATGTCCAAGGACTCAGCGGCCTCCTGCTCGGAACGCATGTCAGAGCGCCTTGTCTTCCCATTTCCAACCTGGTCCTCTTTTGTTGCTGAATTCAAGCTCCGGTTTGTCAAGGAGAATGAGCAAGACCACGCCCTGGCACAACTGGAAACCCATGTCTACTACATGGGGTCCCGCGACGTGTTCAAATACACAGACAAATTCGATGATCTCCTCGACCTGGCAGGGTACTCCAACAACCTGGTCAAGGTCACCAAGTACCGAGCGGGTCTGGACCCCAGAATCAACCAGGCAATCAGGACTTTGGGTAACCCACCCAACCTCACAAACTATCCAGAGTGGTGCACCCATGCATTCCACCAGTGCAATGCTGAGGTGGCTGCTTGGGCTGCACGAGGGCAGAAATTTCCTCCACCCCACGCCCCACCTCCTGCGGCCCCTCGCCCTCGTCCCATGGCCCCTCTGGTTGTCACCCCACCTCCTGCTCCCTGACCAGCCGGCAGCCCTCTTGCCGGGCATCCCTATGGAGATTGACCAAACCAGAGCCCGCAGCAGTGTTTGTTGCACCTGCTTCCAATGCGGCAGCCCAGGACACCTGGCCCGGGACTGCCTGACCCCAGCCAATGTCCTGGATGAAGTGATCAATCAGCTGGGAAGCAACCTATTGGCAGAATTAGTAGCTCGGCTAGCAACTACGGCGGCCATAGAAGAACATGAAGCGGAGATTGCCGACAAGTTGGAGCAGGGTTTTCTCCCCCGCGACAAGTGAATAGTACGCCCTTGTTTGCCTTGCGTAATTGTTTCGAATGTCTGTATGATGAATGCGATCTCATTTCCCCCACGAATGAAATAATAGACATACCCCCTGCCCCCCGCTTGGTTCCACTGGTTTGCAAAGAAAAGTGGGAATGAAAACTCCCTCAGCGCTATGTAGTTGCTGCCTCCCCTGGTGCCAATTCCCTGCACCTCTCCCTGGAGATCCAATTCACCAACAACGCAGTACAGCTCTCACTCAGCGGACTGGTCAACTGCGGTGCCACGTCGGACTTCATTGACTCCACCTATGCCTCCAAAAACCAACTTCCAGTCTGGCAGCTCTCCCACCCTATCCCAGTCTACAATGTGGACAGCATGCCGAATGAAGCTGGCTCCATTTGACAAGTTCTCAATGTGGTCCTGCATTACTAAGGACACAGCAAACAAGTCCAGCTTGCTGTCACTCGGCTTGGCAAGCAGAAGCTGATCCTTGGTTACTCTTGGCTTTGGAAGCACAACCTGGAAATCAATTGGGACATCCAGGAAGTAAAGATGAGCCGCTGCCCGTCTGGCTGTTCCACCTGCACGGAGGAGCTTTGCCAAGAGAGACGGATAGCCAGGATTTTGGCCTGAGCACTCCAATCGGTCTGACAAGGCCCCACCCCTCCATCTGCATCATTGATATAGAAGACCACAAAGACAAGGCTATGCCACCACTCCAGGAAGACGACAGAGAGGATTCCGACAACAAAAAAGATTGTCTGGAAACTGGTGACCGTATCTTCTACACCTGTTTCAACCCTTCTGAAGACATCCAAGCCACTAGCACCGTCTCCCAGCGTCTCACAGAGGCGTTTGTCAAGAACTCTGCCCCCCTCAGGATTCCATACCTGAGTGGGCGCGCGAGTTCGAGGATGTTTTCAGCAAGGAATCCTTTGACAATCTTCCAGAACGTTGCCCTTGGGATCACGCCATCAAACTGGTGCCCAACACAAAGCCAACAAACTGCAAGGTCTACCCTATCTCCCCCCTAGAGCAGAAGCAGCTTAACGCTTTCATAGAAGAAGGCATGGCCACTGGCCAGATCCAACCCTTGAAGTCCCCCATGGCCTCCCCCGTCTTCTTTGTCAAGAAGAAGGATGGCAGTCTATGGTTTGTCTAAGATTATTGGGCACTGAATGCAATGACAGTGAAAAATTGGTACCCCCTTTCCTTGATCAACAACCTCATTAACAAGCTAAAGGGAGCCCGCTTCTTCACCAAACTTGATGTTCAATGAGGCTTCAACAATGTACAGATACAAGAAGGAGACAAGTGGAAGGCGGCATTTTGGACCAACCGCGGGCTCTTTGAGCCACTGGTGATGTATTTTGGCCTTACCAACTCCCCTGCAACGTTCCAGACTATGATGAATGACATCCTCCAGGACCTCATCCTCTCTGGCGACGTCATGGTGTACCTGGACAACATCTTCATTGCGCACTCCAACCTTCACCTCCATCGCTGTATCATGAACAAAGTCCTCTGGCGCCTCCGCAAAAACAAGCTGTACCTCCGGGCTGAGAAGTGCGAATTTGAGATGGAGTCCATCAAGTACCTTGGCGTAATCATTTCCCACAACCACGTCAAGATGGACCCCGTCAAGGTGGCAGGCGTAGCCGAATGGCCGGCTCCCTCTAACAAGAAGGAAGTGCAGCAGTTTCTTGGGTTCACTAACTTCTATTGGAGGTTTATTCGGGACTTCTCACATGTTGCATGCCCACTCTTTGATCTCACCAAGAAGGACGTACCATGGTCTTGGGACAACAACGAGTCCACTTTGTTTCAGGTCTTGAAGGATGTGGTTACCTCCACACCGGTTCTTCTCCTTCCAGACTCCTCTTGTCCTCATCGCCTCGAGGCTGACAGCTCTGATTTTGCCACAGGAGCTGTTATCTTGCAGCAGTCCCCCTCTGATGAGAAGTGGCACCCAGTCGCCTTCTTCTCCAAGAGCCTCAGCAACATCCAGCGCAACTACAAGATCCACAACAAGGAGATGCTTGCAATTGTGCGTGCACTGGAGCAGTGGAGGCACTTCTTAGAGGGCGCCGAACACCCCGTGGAGATCTGGACCAACCACAAGAATCTGGAGTACTTCCACAAGGCCCAGAACCTCAATTGCCAGCAAGCCCAATGGTCGCTCTACTTATCCTGCTTTGATTTCACGCTGCACCACCAACCCGGCCAGCTCATGGGATGACCAGACGCACTCTCTCGATGCCCAGACCACGGGGCCCCTTTGGACAACACAGACATCACCCTGCTGAAACTGGATCTGTTCCATGTGTGAGCACTGGAGGGACTGTCCGTCTCTGGCCCAGAAGCCCCTCTTGTCTGTGACATTCGGGAGTCGCTCTCTGGTGACCCTGACCTTGAGGAAGAACTTGCGCTTATTGCGCGATGGCTTCTAAAAGGGATGAAGGGAGCCCGCTCTGCTGTTACAGCGGAGTGGCGCGTCCAGGACGGTCTCCTCTACTTCTGAGGGAAGCTAGTTGTCCCGCGTGACAAGGACCTATGCTGGCGCATCCTCGAGCAGCACCACGACACCCAGGTCGCCGGGTATGCAGGTTGCTTCAAGACGCTGGAGCTGATCTCTTAGAACTACTGGTGGCCCCAGCTCTCACGACACGTTGGACATTATGTGGCCACCTGCGACTTGTGCTGTCAGACCAAGGCCCTCTGATGTCTCCCTACCGGAGAACTTCACCCTACAGAGATTCCCTTGGAGCGCTAGGAATCAGTGTCAGTGGACTTCATTGTGGAGCTGCCCGAGGCACACAGGTACGACGCAATCATAGTGGTTGTGGACATGTTAGGGAAGCGCGTTCACTTCATCGAGTGCCACACCCGCCTCTCGGCTGAAGAGATGGCTCGGTTGTTCTACAAGCACGTCTGGCGGCACCACGGGCTGCCAATCAAGTATGTCTCTGACCATAGCCCTCAGTTTGTGGTGGACTTCACCTAGGAGCTGTGGAAACTGGTTGGCATCTCCCCTGCCACGTGCACTGCCTATCACCCACAGACCGATGGTCAAACCAAGCGGGTGAACCAGGAACTGGAGCAGTACCTTCGGATCTTCACCAGCTACAAGCAAGATAATTGGGACGAGCTCCTGCCTGCAGCTGAGTTTGCTTACAACAACTACGTCCACTCCTCGACCCAGCAGGTTCCCTTCATGACGGACACAGGACGTTTACCATGCATGGGATTTGAGCCAACAGAGCAGCGCTCCACCCGAGCAGAGTCTGCCAATGAGTTTCTGGATTGGGTCGCATCAGGCATAACCGAGGCCAAATCAGCACTAGTTAAAGCAAAGGACAAGTACAATGTAAGGGCAACTCCTGCCAGCCTGAAGGAAGAGAGCACACAGCACACAACAACCTCACATGAGTCTAAGCACAGAGGGGGATCCTTAGAGACTATCAAATACAAGGGAGGTATACTACTCACCTGAGCACAGAGGGAGATCCTTAGAGAATGATTCAAGGATCCATGTGCCCAGGTGTCACACTATATAGTCAGCTGTGACAAGTGACTGATGATGATGGGATATCACTGCCATGGAACAATGGCAGATGACAAGTAGATGATGACAAACCCAGATAAGATAGTGAGTGGCTCAGAGGCGCCAGTGATGGCCAGCTCCTGAGGCACTAACAGTGGAAGGCTATACTGGAGGAGCCCAATGGCCAGGCCAGTGCCGGGCTGGCCAGTGGAGACATCGGAGGCGAGGACCAATGCCCGACTAGGAAGAGGGGTGGTGCGGATGAGCGCAAGGGCATCTGGTACGAGCCTGTACGGCAGTAGACCACATCCGTGGGAAGAAGGCCAAAGTAGAGGGGGAGGAGTGTGTACAGCAGTAGCACTCCCTGGTACAAGGAATCAGGCTTGGCTAGACCGCTTGCAGGGATTTGAAGGAGATGGCCAGGAGAAGGAGGGAGAGGGCAGGTGTTGGCACGGATGGAGATGAGGATCAGAGGAGGAGGGGGAGGCTGGGTGATCGACAGGTGAGCAGGCACGGTGAAATGCTGAGGGCGTGCTCACAAGTGAATCTACTATGAAAGTAAACCCAAATATAAACACGTTCACACTCCTCGTAATCAGCTTCTCAGTGTGTGAAAGATGCGAGGGCTTCGGGGTGGACAGAGCACCAGTATCACAACTCTCAATGGACGCAGATCCAATAGTCGCGGAGACGGAGTCGATGACAAGATATATATATATAGCAAACGATGGTGTCTCAACCAATATCTTCTATACGATCACAACCAACACTAATCCAATCCACAACAACAATATAACAAGTCAGAGCTTAATACGAAGTATTAAGATCCCTTGTAGCGACAGCGTCTAGATGGTGACGCAAAGCCCAAATATCAAGTCGACGCACTGCCAACCGATACAACCAATATACTGAGTCGACGCACTGCCAACTAGTAAACCAAAATGTCGAGTCGACGCACTGCCAACTGACACAACCAAAAGTACTGAGTCGACGCACTGCCAACTAGTAAACCAAAATGCCGCGTCGACGCACTGCCAACTAACAGCCAATATCCAATGTCCAAAACCCGAGCACAACTTGTCGACGCACTGCCAAGCAAGAAGTGTGGAACCAAAGTTCTCAAGTCGACGCACTGCCAACTGACCAAAACAACCCGAGCACAACTAGTCGACGCACTGCCAAGCTAGAGGTGTGGAACGATCTCAACAAAGCCCTAAGGCGATGACACTAAATGCCGCGACAATACCAGATGCGGCGAATCCGACTTTCTGATATCTCAACTCAAACTCAAATCACAGTAGCTACAAGTGCTCAGGGAGCAACTCGTCGCGACCGGGCAGGGATGGCAGAACTTCTTAGGGTGGAATCACGCGGCACGCAAATTGTACAAAACAATCTGAAATGGTAGTGATTCACAGTCCGGGGAAAAGCCCTCTAATACAAAGAGACGACGTGCTACTTATACTGTC